TGTCTACAATGGTCGTACCTGGTCCTTCCATGAAACATACGAGCTTGCTCTGCGTTATGGGAACTGGTTCAAGACAGTGCACAGCGTCAAGCCCAAGGAGATCGTTGCCGTGGACTTTATGAATTCATCCACGTTCATCTTCCTTCTGCTGGGTCTATGGAGCATCGGCGCTGTGCCAGCATTCATCAACTACAATCTGACCGGAAAACCGTTGACACATTCAGTCCGCACGTCGGCTGCTAGGCTCCTGATAGTCGATGACGAAGTGCGCAACTGTTTCCCGCCAGAGCAGTTGGAAATCTTCGCTTCCGCCGACTTCCGCGAGGACAAGAGTGCTGTAGAGGTGGTTTTCTTCACGCCGGATGTGGAAGCTCAGGTCATGCAGACCGAGGCTGTCCGTGAGGACGACAAAGCGCGCAGCGGCCCAGTCTTGCGTGATATGGCCATGTTGATTTACACCAGCGGTACTACCGGACTTCCCAAACCCGCCATTGTCAGTTGGAGGAAATGCTGGACGGGCAGCACTTTTGTGTCCAACTGGTTGGGCTTAAAGCCAGCGGACCGCTTCTTCACAGTATGTTGACCTGCCTTACACATATCATGTGTGACCAACGCTGACAAAACCAGTGCATGCCTCTCTATCACTCTTCCGCTACCGTCCTTGGTTTCCTGTCCTGTCTGATGAGTGCATCGACGTTTGTCATCGGCCATAAATTCTCCGCTAGGAGCTTTTGGAAAGAAGCCCGTGAGAATAACGCCACGATTGTCCAGTATGTGGGTGAAACGCTACGATACCTCCTGGCCGTGCCGCCTCAGATCGACCCAGTCACGGGCGAAGACCTAGACAAGAAACACAACGTCCGGGCCATCTTCGGTAACGGCCTGCGACCCGACATCTGGAATCGGGTCAAGGAGCGGTTCAACGTTCCCACGATTGCCGAGTTCTACGCCGCAACCGAAGGCACCTCGGGATCATGGAACCTTTCCTCCAACGACTTTACTGCAGGGGCTATCGGTCGAAACGGCGCCCTGACCAAACTAATCTTGGGCGGCAGTCTCGCCGTCGTCGAGGTAGACCACGAGTCTCAGGAGCCCTGGCGCGACCCGAAAACGGGCCTCTGCCGCAAAGTTCCGCACGGCCAGCCCGGCGAATTACTCTACGCAATCGACCCCAACGATCCTTCGGATAAATTCCAGGGCTACTTCAAGAACTCCAAGGCCACGGAAGGTAAAATCATTCGCGACGTCCTCCGCAAGGGTGACGCATTTTTCCGCACGGGCGACATGGTTCGCTGGGATCTGGAAGGACGGTGGTACTTCTCCGACCGGCTCGGCGACACCTTCCGCTGGAAGTCGGAGAACGTCTCCACGAGCGAGGTGGCCGAAGTCCTGGGCACGCATCCGGACGTGCACGAGGCCAATGTCTACGGCGTGGCATTGCCGAACCACGATGGCCGTGCTGGCTGCGCTGCCATCGTCTTCCAGCAGCAGTTACAAGCCGCCAACCCGTCCGAACTCGCTGCGCCCTCCCAGAACGTCCTCGACAGTCTCGCAGCCCACGTCCTCAAAAACCTGCCCCGGTTTGCGGCTCCCTTGTTCCTCCGCGTCACGCCGGAGATGCAGGCGACAGGCAACAACAAGCAGCAGAAACACGTCCTGCGCACCGAGGGCGTGGACCCTGCGCTCGTCAGCGGCAAGGATAAGCTGTACTGGCTGCAGGGGAACACCTATGTTCCATTCGAGCAGAAGGACTGGAACCGGTTGCATTCCGGACAAGTCAAGCTGTGATTTTATTATTCTTCCATGCACCCCTACTTAGTAGCCATTATTTTTCTGCCTTGATACCCTGCGCGACCCTTCTTCTCGCCCTCGAAATCGCCCTCGATGTGTTTGTCGACTCCGATATTGTTATAGTTTACGATGAGGGTTTATGTAGCCAAATTTATTCATGTCTAGTACGCTTCAATGATGAGAAGAGTATAGATCACCGTCCCACGAACCGTAACTCAGTCATCCGTAGAGGAAGGTACACGCTAACAGCGAATATGAACGCTAACCACATCCCCAGATCACAACCGTCAGGAAGAGTCTGAGCGATAGGGCCCCTGAAGAATGATTGATCCTGTGAAAACATCAGTAAAAATCCCCATAGGGCCAAGGAACGAAGACGGAACGTACCATCCCTAGGAAGGCCCCAAGGCAACCCGCCACCAAGCTTCCACCCGCCGCCCAGCCACTGGGTAACCTGGTCATATCATCCCACGCCTCCCAATCATACGCCCCCTTGTCGCGGTACGCTCGCAGGACAATCTCCTCAAGTACGATCCCGAACCACGCGACGATCCAGTAGCTCATCAGCGGGAGGAAATCCTCCATGATGTCGCGCAGGTAGGCGCGGGCCACTACGGCACAGACGGTATAGGCGACCACCTCGAGGGTTGTGAGGATGGGCTGCGGGATGCGCGGGCCCCACTTGCCCAGCATTTGGAGATTCAGGCCGGCCGAGTACGTGGCGGGGATATTGTTGGAGACGGCGGTGAGGACGAGGATGGCGGCGCAGAGGCTGCCGAAGCCGCAGAGGCCCGAGAAGGAGAGCGCTAGGAGGCCGCCGGGGGAGTCGGCGAAGACGGCCATCCAATCGGGATTGGAATAAAGGGCTGTGGCTAGGCCGATGCCTAGGATGGTGGTGAGGATCATGGCGAGGCCCATTCCTGCTGCGGCGGAGAGGAACATGCGGATGGGGCGGGTGCTGGTGGGGAAGTAGACGAAGTAGTCTGCGCTTGAGGGGGTCCAGGTGATGGCAGAGGCGAAACAGAGGGAGAAGAAGGAGAGGCGGTGCGCGGATGTGTCCTGGGGCAGGTCGGGGGAGAGACGATGCGTGGAATCGAATGCCGGACCGGCGCAGCCGATCATGATGCAGAGCACGGAGAGCGAGAGGATCCAGGCGTAACGGGACCAGAGATGGAAGAGGTTCATGCCGAAGGTAGCGATGCACCAGGTCAGGACGGCGACGACAACAATGCCGACGGTGACGGGCGTCCGGCCATTGGAAATAGTGAAGATGATCTGACCACTCAAAATGCAATTGACCATGCCGTAGCCCAGCATCGTCAGAATGTTGAGAAAGCAGCAGATCTTGCTGGGGTAGTAACCGAGAAAGTATCGCGTTACCACCAATGTGCGATGACCGCTGCGTGGTCCCCAGGTACTCATGTAGGCCACCGCGATACTTCCCAATATACTCCCAAAGACACCACAAACGGATGCGGTGGCTAGGTTTAGGCCGTAGTATGAAGGACCATACAAGCCAACGATGATGTTGTTGGCTGTGAGGGACGAGTTCAGCCAGAGTAGGAAGATCCGCGTGTAATCATCTGGACCAGCAGGTTGACGCGAATCAACTGCGACTCGCTGTATACCTTGAGTCTCTACCCCTGCTAATCGACAAAGCCTCAGGGTCCATCTCTGAAAGGAAGAAGTGGACTTAGCGGGATCCGGAATCTCGACGATCTCGGCCTTGATATTGAGTTTTGCATGAACATAGCCCTGCTCGAGGTCCGCCATTGGGAAGACTGGTCACGGAGAGAAAGCGAGTTTATGGCAAATTGGGATATAGTCATTGGGACGGATATAATACCAGGTCAGGGGATTGCCAGCTGTTTCGTCGACCAATATATAGGTAAATGCTTGCGCGAGAAGGGAAATTGCATCATGGCCCTCAACAGTTGCAGTGCAGACTCGCAGATAGCAAATGTGACACTGCAGTTTTTTCATTGATGCCTAAAATGGAGTTGCCGAACAGCTTCAACAGACGCTCATGTCCGAATGTACCAAGAAAAGACAAGAATGAAGGCTCAAAGGGCCTAGATTGCGGCCTCCTGTGACCCCTTGAATAGGTTACACAAATCGGCTGCAGAGAGCAGGGGAATGACAGAATAAGACGTAAGTGATAACGGCGCCATTCAGCCACCTGCCCAGAAGCAAGGGAGACGCAATTATCCAGAGACTGCTCAGTTCCTTGCTTCTTCCAATAGTGCAGATCCCGGCTCTTTGCACACTTGCCACTTGGGGTCGGATGATACACGCAGGGATGAACTCGAGATTGCATTCTTGGGTCACAAAAATCGAACTTCGATCATCTTCTGTTCATTATAGTCAGTATGACATAGAAAGGTGACATTCACCATATCATGGAGCTGCGTTAAGGAATGTCATGATGGTACTCCGATAAACAATCGAGTGCCGACTTCCGACTCCTCTCTCGATACTTGTTGTCCAGATCAGGCGTCTGATTGCATAAAATCTTTCCGCCACATCTAGACTCTATGTCGAGTAATGCCACACATACTGCAAAAGCAATTCGACGTCGAGGTTCGAGGCCCTCGACCCGATTTGTGGTAGGCAGGAGACTGCCAACCTCCGAAGATGCAACGGCACATCGCTCGAACAAATAGAGAGAGAATCTGACTGTGAAGCAGACCATGGCCTAGACCTCAGATGTAGAGAACAGATTAATGGGCAGGGTGAGAGCTTTTAAGTAGGCACCCTGCCCATTGTATTCGTATGTGCCATTCCGCGTTACGCGTCACATCCTCCCAACCCAGTAACTGATCATCACGATCACCTCAGGGTCGCTCTCAATGGAACGATCTGACTAGGAAATCAGGTACCTGCATCCAATCTAAATCAAATCTATGAGACCTCAGCCGGTTATTGGTGCCATACTGAAAGATTTTCATTGGGTGGGGGGAAACCAGTTCGTGATGTATCTTGGGATTGAGAAGCAATGGTCGTGTTGTCTCGGATATTGGTCAACCCGCAGTTCCGAGACCGAGACTGATCTCGGGGAAGCACCCGAGGTTCGCCTTGTTCTCCCCACATTTGGAGACGGCTTTCTCGGCTATATGCTCGCCGCTTATATTTATGTTGTTTCCTTGCCAATGACCTCATGAACCGGGCATATCCTTCCATAACCCTGTAGAGACAGCTATAGTGCAGAGATGTCAGTAAGGACTCGTTTGGCCTGCCAGTCTCGCCGCTTCGTCTCAAAAGGATATACTCCCTCTGCGCGCCAATTCTCAACGCATGGTCAGCGGTGCTCGCAATCAGATTCTGCCTCATCCATTGCAGCTTCATTTCTTTCTCGGTTTAATTCCTTGGGTCCTCAGACTCGCACTCAAGTCCTTGATTCTAACCAGCTCCAACTCTTATCTCTCACTCTCAACCGGCCGACTGTATACCCCAACTCACCAGTGCTCACCAATGCTTCGGCGTCATTGCAACAAGGTACTCCCCTGCCTGCGGGATACCATTTGGTTTATTTCACTCCAACGTTCTTGGAGAGTGAATTAGGAGCCGATGGCACCGATGTCTCGTACAACCCCGAGACACCGTTTACTCGGCGTATGTGGGCTGGCGGCGAAGTACAATGGCCACGCGGTCCAGACGGAATGCCTAATCCGTTGAGGGTAGGCCAAGAGATCCAGGAAACGACGAGGGTCCTGAGTGCGGAACTTAAAATTGTCCGCAGAACTGGGGAGGAGATGATTGTTGTAGGGGTGGAGAAGGAGTTTCGAAATGAGCATGGTGTAGCTGTGTTAGACAGAAGGTGAGGATGAATCCAGGACACAGTGAACGGGAACCGTACCTGGAGGACCACTAACGGTACCAGGAACTGGGTCTTTCGCAAAGCCCTCGCACCGTCATCATCATCAGTATCAACGAATCTGCCAGACCCGATCACACCCTCAGGCCCGGCATTCTCGAAGACTTCGACAACAGGCAACGTCCACACCCGGACAATGAAGCAAACGGCCGTCACTCTGTTCCGGTTTTCAGCGCTGACGTTCAACCCACATAAAATTCATTATTCACTTCCTTGGGCTCGCGACGTCGAGGGCCACAGGGATATTGTTGTCCATGGCCCACTGAACCTCATCAACATTCTGGACCTGTGGCGCGACACAAGGACTTCAACGCTCGCCAGCGAAGCTCCCGAGCTCATACTTCCTCAGAGTATCTCCTATCGGGCGACGAGTCCTTTGTATGCTGAAGAGGAATATCGGATTGTCCTTGAGGATGAGGATAGTATTGCCAAGGTGCAAGTCATTGGTCCCGATGGAATGACAATAGCTATGAAGGCGGAGATCAAGGGCTAGAACGACAATCGTATCAATTGCCCTGTGATTATCTGCAATACAGAGGCTAGTACTGGTCAAGGAGCGCTTATATTGCAGTGGGTGGCACCAGATGTGACTTGACCCAGGAATGGCTGAGCTTTGGCTTGAGCTTAAGCAGATGGAGGGTTCATGTCCCTGAGTACCTCTCAAGGTCTCATAGGTTAGCGCACTGAGCACTCAGGTATCCTACTGATTGGTGCGTATGAAACATCAGGCACTAGGTCACTTTGAGTGATCGATACTGTAGGGACTCTATGTGAAAGTGCATTGAAGATGTGGAATGGATCTGCTACTTTCAAGCCCATTAGCAAACTTCGATCCAAAAATGGTCAAAATGTACATTGCCTGCTTGATGGCACTATACTGACATTATTGATAGCCAAAGAACCTACGGCGCCCATCCAAGAGGAGCACCATATCTGGGGCACGCCCTGTGATGTGCCCCTAAGTCTTCGAAATACCACACAGAGTCCAGTTTAGATGAAAGACTTGCTTTCTTACCCACACGTGAGACTGAAATATTCCCATCATGTGATGGTGTTGAAGGGATATTCTTCTGCCATTTGTAGGTACAACTTCATAATCGTACGATGTAGGATGGCCCGAGCGGGGAGGGGATTATCGCAACCAAGGTTGAACATTTCAAATCCTTGAAAAGGTTAATAGCTCGTCTCAATCCAGGAACAGAATGGTGCGATCGGTGGGAGTTCGAGTTGTTGGACCTTGGGAATACTCTGAACCCGCTTCACAATAACAAAGTCGTTTCTCCTCGGATTTTCGGAGCCTGTCGGCTATTGTCGAGCAGTATATGGTGTGCAGTAGTATTGACAGTCTTGAAGAATCGATATAAATTGATTCCGTCATTGTAGGTCATCGCAAGCAGCGAAGGGATAGCGCTGGTCTAGATGGTCCATGAGACCTGAGAACAGTCTCTTTCAGTGACAGTCTCCTAGGATTCGTTATCCAGAATAAATTAGAGTAAAGGATGACGAATGAGCTACTTCAGGATCCACATTGAGTGAGAGCAATGACCGAGCGCGAGGAGATGATTTGACGACGAAGGAAGTCGGGCGGAAGAAGGGACAAAGAAAGGTTAAATGAGAGAGAGCAATGATACAGGGCTAGGAAAAAAGAAAGTTGCTGGGACCGAAAATGGAAGTCGGTCGAGGCAAATAGACGCAAGATCAGCAGCTAACATCAGCCATTTCTTTGTCGCTGTTCTTCCATTTGACCTCTTTGTTCGCTCCTCCATGCTTTTCCCATGGAACAGCCAGCCAACGTGCATCCGCGAAACCACCACTTGACTATGTCGATGACATAGATGCTACCATGGAAGCTGGGATAACAATTCTCACTACCTTTGTTCGTTTGCCAGTTAGTTGACGCCTTGACATCTTTTCTCGCTATGGCCTATCGGGAGATCAGCCCTCGACCAGGGATCATGCTCCTTGAGTCAATCAGAATCATTCATATGCTCTCTTTCAGCATGAGGCACACAAGAGTCCAGGTTGGTTAAACTTTATCAATAAAAAACTTATAGACTAGCAACGGCTGACTTTGGTTGCTCAAGGTAGTATTGAAGTTGACCATCTGTACGGGGGAAAGATGTTGCTTCCTACTCCTCGCGCACTGTACACAATACATATATTCTAGGTACAACGTTATCACACACGCCGATCACATATTTGATCGTCGCACAACTAAAGAATATCCATGACTGAGTCGCGGAAAGTTCGGCTGTCCTCATGGTAGAGACCGGGCCACCCCCAGGTGGAGATAGTGACCGGGGGCCCTTGCTGCTGGGTGCTTTGTGGGCGCAGGCAGGGATAGCGACAGTCATTATATTCCTGAGACTATATGCTCGCTTCATGATACACACTACCGGCTGGGATGACTGGCTGATGTTTCTGACGCTGGTATAACACTACTGACTAGATCACATTGCGCGACGGGAGCTGATAGGGGCAACAGGCGATATTCATCGGGTCAATCATCATTACTACCCTCCAAGATAGCGTCGGGGGCTACCGACATGTGTACTATCTGGACGAAGATGCCGTCGTGCGAGCGCTGGAGTTGAATTTTATCCTGCGCGGCGTTCATATTATAGGGTACGCTACAGGCAAAGCATCCATCGGCGCATTCATTCTGCGTTTGATCGGACCGCAGAACATGTGGCAGAAATGGGTGGTCTGGGTCCTCATTATATTCACGACGCTCGTCAATGTGTTGAATTGTATATTCAACTTTGTCCAGTGCAACCCCGTGCAGGGCAACTGGGACCCAAGGGTTTCAGCCAAGTGCTGGGAGAAAAGGGCGCAGCTCAAGTTCGCATATTTCATGTGCAGTACGGTCACGAATAAGCCATTTTGCAAGACGAGAATGGTGCGCTGATTTGAAGCATAGGCGAGAATATCGCGGCATTCGCGGTTCTGGCCATCATACCGGCCACATTTCTATTCAGTATGAACCTCAGTCTCAAAAAGAGAGTCAACTTGATGATCCTCTTGGGACTTGGCTCAATGTGAGATTGTGCCTTGATTATTTGCGTTCGTTCCAGGTAGACGCTGATTGGTATGCATCATAGGGCTACAATATGTGGCATTGTCAAGACCGTCGAGCTGAACTCCATCCGCGATGACCCAGACTTCACATGTGCGAAGTACCTGTCTCTTAACTAATACCTCGCAGCGCTAACATCAAAGGAACAGGGGGCTTATATGCCGTCACTGTCTGGGCCTTGTCTGAAATTTTTGTTATCATCACCTGTGGCAGCGTGCCAGCCTTGAAACCGCTCTGGGACCGGTACATCGTAAGGCGATTCAGCGAAAATAACTCGGAGTGCCACGGAAATTGGTTCGAAAACTACCGAATGCGACATGTCTATCCAGCGAGACTTCAATCTGGCTCAACTCAAGCCAGGCACACGCCAAAGAGCGAGAGCACGAGTAGATCATTATGGTCTTCCGATCCGGGAGTTCAGACCACAACATCAACGACAAAGCAATTCAACACCAACACTGCAGGAGAAAGAGAGATTGAGACTATACAAGAGCCTCAGAGTGCTGTATAGCCTTCTAAGAGGTAGAAAGGGCAGGCAGTGTTGGTGAAGTATTCCACCGTGGCATAACGTCCCATGTAGACTTATAGTTGACTGGCGAGCGTCTCCTTGTAATTCATCGAGTGTAGCTTTGCAAAATATGTCACCGTCTAATATGATAAATATACCAACAACCAATCCAACTCAGATCACTAAGGGCCATTCCCCGGGATTAGTCAACAAGAACTAGAAGGAGCGAGTCTAAGAATTGACGCAATACTCCCCCAGCAGCCCAGCAACTATACTCGCACCCACAAGGTGAGACCCCGGGCAAAACCACCACGCGCAGCTCGCCGAGTGCTGCAGATCAACAAACCATAGCAAAGCAGCCAAAGAGAATGCTGTTCCAATGCAGCTGCCTGCAAAGTAGATTGCCGAGAAATTGCATGCCACACCCGCAGCGAACAGCAGCATCACCTGTGTCGCCGCGAGAACAGACAATGCCTGCTTCGTGCGGTCACCAAGGCGAACAGCTAACGACCGTACGCCCACCTTGGCATCGTCTTTGGCATCCTGGTGCGCGTAGATAGTGTCGAAAATGACCGTCCACAGGATACTTACTATGTAGAAACACAGCGCAGCAAGCAGGCGCAGGTCATCGGTCTCAGTTCCAAGACGATAAAAGTCCGACAGTGGAAGAGGATCGGCATCTAGAGCCGCACTGCAAAGGAAGATAGGCATCCCGAATGCAATCCCCAATATGACCTGTGGGAAATCCGTGACTCGCTTCCCTAGAGGATACACCAGCAGGATAGCTGTCATGAGTGCAGCATGATACATGCACCCCCGGGGCAAAGGAAGGAGCATCACTGTCCCCACGGTTATCTGAGCGAGTGTGAAAAGATGGCTTTGGACTGTGGAGACGGCGCCCCGTGGAATGGGACGATTTCGGGTTCTAGACACCCTCCGGTCGAAATCCTGGTCCAGAGTGTCGTTCCAGGTACACACTGCTCCGCGCAGTACGATGACCCACACTGCGAAGAAGAGAAACAGAGAGACGAGGGTCAGCGGCGATGGAATCGGAGAAGACATGCTGGCTGCCAAGGCGAGGCCAATGGCAAAGTGCCAGTAAAACGCCCAGTAGCCTGCCGGACGATCTAGTCGCATGAGTTCGGCATAAGGGATCCAGCTGGGTGGCATTATAGCAAAAACCCCAGTTTTCGGTGTGGTGTACTTTGAGCATGGCAAAGAGTCGTATTCGGGGGTTGCGTTGGTTAGGACCAGGCTAGGACCCATGACTTCTTGAATGCAGGTATTTGCTTTCATTGTAGGGTAAATTGAATGCTTGCGGGCTGTGATTTGAAGTTGATGATAATTCTCTCGAGAGAGTCGAGATCGATGAAACGATTGCAACAAAATATCTCGCTCTTCTGGACGTTCTTATATCTATGTCTGTTTGATGGTCCGTCCCGGCAACCTGGTGCTCGGATTGTGTATTGAAAGCGTCTCCGTCATGCCCAGGGCTACTATTAGCCCAAACAGGATTTTGTCTCGGCAGTCTGCGAGCTTGCACTTCTGGCCGTGCAGAAGGAAGGGCTGTATTCTTGGTCAAGGTTACTGTTCCGAGACATACTATCTGCGCTTGCCGTTTGAAACCCCAGATTCGGCAGTCTCAATTCGACAAGAGTCCTTTGTGTGTCTCACTTGGCTGGTCTGTGTGCATGTCGAGGGCATCTCTGAGCTTAGAAGCGTTCGAGGAAGGGAGAACCGATCCCGCACGTCTCAGACAAGAGCACCGTATATAGATGAGATGCCACTCAGACGTCTGTCTGCTGACCAACAGCTTGAGCACCTCGCACGGGATGCCATTCCTAGACTCGTATTCTCGGATACCTTAACGCCTCGTAAGGCAGACCTTGTATCTTTGCTTTCGAGTCTTGGGCCATGCGTTTTCAAGTCGAGTTCTTGGAAGACGCACGTTTGTTACTTGCCAGTCTTTAGTGATAATGACATTTGGCTGCAGATGCAGATGAGAACGCTAACAAAGCTATCATAGTATCTGATGAACTCGGTTGGGGAATCTGATTGAGGACTTCGAAGACTGCGGTTTCGGATGACTGATCAGGCTATGTAGCAATCTCCCACCCAGCCTATTTCAGGGGCTCGTATGAACCTCGGGCATTACATTTGATTTTGAGTCATGTCATGATGAGCGGTATCAAAGCGACCCTGTGTCGGAATAGAAAGGTTTGATGCTGGGGAGATCAACGGTACCCAACTGGTCAAGCTGCCGGATATATTGATTGGTCTTAGACAACTCAAAGACAGGGGAAGGGGGACCGAAGTGGCGGACCGAAACTGTGAAGATTGCTTTAGCTGTCAAGAGGACCTTAACGGTAGTGGTAGGCCTGTAGGGACGTTCATTGGAAAAAAGTGCTGACAGTTAGCTAACAAGTTGATGTTGAGCTCATTCCCAGTTGGCGCGGAGATAAGTCCGGAGACCGGAAAGCCACACGACCATCTTCCCTCTTCCCTCGTGTTCAACCAGTCAACATGTATTCCATCTCCGGTCAATGACAGAGTCATTTTTTATCACATATCTATATCTGACGTAGTCCCTCGTCCAGGATGACCGACTTGACGAAAAAACCCCACATTCAGGACGTTCCGAATCCAAGCATGGTGACCAAGGAAAAGAAGAGGAGCCGAGTTCAACTCTCTTGCACTGCCTGTAGAAGTCGAAAGTACGTCTTTTGCTCTACAGTCATAGAATCTTGTGCTAATGCATGTCTAGGCTCAAATGTTGCCGGACATATCCATGCACCAACTGCAAGAAAAGAGGGGAAGCCGCATCCTGCACCTTTGTTGGCCGTGGCCCTCGAGGAAGGTCATCGCAGGGTCGAACAAGCCCGACCCTTGTGCAAGATCGTCTGCAGCATCTTGAAAACCTGATCTTGTCATTTACTCAGAAGAAGTCATGCGAACAGAGTCAAGCCCCTAGTGCATCAAAGCAGCAGAATACTCCGTCTACAACAGCAGGGAGTGTTGTTCCAGCGGTGCTGGAGAATCCCTCTTCAAGCATGGAACCGGAACCGAGAGGCTCTGCGCCTGAAAGCACTGGTAGACTCCTGGAAAATGAAGCAGGGTCGAGCTATTTCGATGACGCTCACTGGCGTGCTATACTCGAGGAGGTAAGGCAACCTGCCTCCATTGCATGTCCGTGTTTTAACGAACACGCTGCAAGGTGAATGACGTCAAGGGATACCTTCAACAAGAAACGGACGAAGAATCTGAGGAAGACTTCATGGATGAAGATTTTTTTGACTCTTCCTCGCCGGCTCTCTTACTCGGCTTGAACAAGCCCGCAAGCAAGGAGGAACTGCTCGCCGATATTCCTCCACGACCAGTAGCAGATAGACTTGTCTCACAGTTTCTCCATTGTAAAGAGCCACTATTAGGTACACATCCGCTCTCGTACGAAACTCTACGCAGGTACTGACATTACAAGTCGTTCTCCATTTCCCAACATTCCAGAAGGAGGTAAGTTAATCAAAGATGAACTGCTCACAGATGACTGACAGAACATAGTATAACCAATTCTGGCTAGACCCACAGGGAGTGTCTCTCCAGTGGCTCGGTCTGCTGTATGCTATTTTTGCATTGGCAATTTCAGTTTTAAATACAATAGAGGAACCAGTGCCCCAGTCACTGGGAGATCACCAGGTCGCCACGACCCGGTTCCGCAAACGTACTGTACAATGTTTGGTCCAAGCGAACTATATAACTCCTGGCAGATACAAAGTTGAGGCACTGTTTCTATATACAATGGGAGAGTTTCTCACAAGCTGTGATGCCCAAGCCGGAGTCTCGTTCATGCTCGGGCTCACTATAAGGCTTGCCATGCGGATGGGGTACCATCGCGATCCCCGAAATTTCCCTAAAATGTCGGCGCTTGAAGGGGAAATGAGACGACGTCTATGGGCTGTTGTCAGCCAACTCGACACACTGATTTCATTCCAAGTCGGACTACCTCGGACAATCCAGGCCTGGCAACACGACGTGGAGCTGCCGCGGAATTTATTTGATGAAGATTACGATGAGAATACGAAAGAACTCCCACATTCTCGGCCAGAAACCGAGCTCACTCCGCTGTGCTATACCATAGCCAAGGGAAGAATCATGTCTATTTTTGGACGAATATCAGATCTTGCATACTCACGGGAACCGGTGACATACGAGCAAACGCTCGAAATTGATCGGCAACTTGAAGAAGCGCACGATCAGATTCCGTTGATCTTACAAATTAGGCCCATGGAGCAGTCAATCACCGACCCATCAGACCTAATCCTCAAGCGTGTCACACTGGAGATTCTGTATCAGAAGTGCCGCTGCGTTTTACACCGGAGGTACCTGGCGGAATTCCACGATGATATGCGATACACATATTCTCGCTGGGTCTGTATGACCGCAGCGAAACAGATCCTTCGACACCAAGCAGTCCTGCACCACGAAACTCAGCCTGGAGGCCAGCTGTACCGCGAAAAGCGATTCCCGAATTCTATACAAAACACAGACTACCTGCTAGCAGCCATGATTATCTGCCTCGGACTCTCCCCTGGCCATCCCAGGGAGCCAGGAACGAACAGTCAATGCAACGATGTGACAGTGATTATCAAAGGCCGCGAAGACCTTCTATCAACCCTGGAGACAACCCATCAGGTTTTCAAGGACATGCGCCGGCGATCGGCGGATGCACAAAAAGCATATGCAGCGATGTCAATCATGCTTCGTTGTGCCAAGAAAAACATGCAACATGCAGTAGACTCCAGCGGTTCAAGTGGCCAAGAATTCAATACAGCCAGTGATGGTAAGATGACCAGCCTATGGCCTGTGCAAGATACTAAATCAGTGGACTGTAGTTTCACCACCCCCGTATGACGCATGGCAGAATCAGCAAGGTCCCTCGTCCGTGCTTGCCCACGACCAGCTCAATGCAATGCAATCACCTTTTACTTCGCTAGATGTTATTGAAGAGATGCTTGACGCGCCGACCAACCTTGACTGGGTAAGAACATTGAGGCCGTTTGTTCCAGGTTTGCTAACCTTCCGCAGTGTCTTTGGGACCAGCAAATCCGAGGCTTTGAAGATGAAAACGCGCGCACTCTCTGGTATCCTGGCTTGGAGTCATAGGAGCTGCCTGTTGACCTCGGTAGAAAAATTAACGATAGCTACTTCTGGTTGATTTGTTTAGAAATTTTCAAGTTATAGTTCTGACTGCATATATGCGTTAACTGGCGCATTTGCGGGTTGGGTGCCCTTGTATATAGTGTAGTGCCTATGTATATGCAGCGGATACGACAAGGGTTCCGGTTTATATGCGATTCATTCAATTAAATACGATATTCAACAATAATCAACGATACTTGAAAATATTAAGAAACAAGCTCTTGTCATGTTTGCTCAATGGCATGACGTCGCTGTCACCATACAAGTAAACTACGCCGTTCGGCACGTCCCGCATGGATCCTGCAGCAAAGAAAAAAGTACGGAATTGTCGGAGTAGTCAATTGCCCTATCTCACACCTGTAGAGGCATACCACATCTACTCAAGTCCTCAAACACAAAATGAAACCATCCTTACCACTGCGACGCATTTGTCGCGGGACAAACATCACAATCCGCCCGCCAACCTCGCCAGCACTCGTCTCACGCATTTCGCATGAGCAACGAACACGACCTGCTCCAAGCACTCGCTCAACACCACTCACAACCACAACCCGCCGATCCTTCAACCTCTCGTCGCTTTCCTCCCTCTTCCCCCCAAGCAACGGCAACCGCAACGACAACAACAAAAGCCGCGTTCTAACCGCCACCCGCACCCTCCCCTACCACCCCAGCGCGCTCTTCGAGGTCATCTCCTCGGTCGAATCCTACTCGCAATTCCTCCCCTTCCTCACAGCCTCGACCGTCACCCACCGCGATCCGGAAACGGGGTACCCGACGCGCGCCTTCCTAACAGTCGGCTACGGGCCTCTCAGCGAGACCTTCACGTCGCGCGTGGACTGCAATCGGGACAAGTGGACTGTCGAGGCGCTCAGCGGGGCCAAGTTCGGGGTGGACTCGAAGGATGGGCAGGAGGGGGGAACCTTTCCCGGCGCGAACGAAGGGATTTTTGAGTATTTGAGTACGAAGTGGGAGTTGGTGCCGATCCCCGGGGGAAGTGTGCAGACGCGGGTGCACCTGGAGATTCAGTTTGAGTTTCGGAATCAGTTCCATGCGGCGATGATGAGCGCTGTTGAGGGGCAGATGGCGGGCGTTATGATTGAGGCATTTGAGAAGAGGATTAGGGAGGTGGAGGGGAGGTAATTATCATAGATTCGGGCTATACGGATTGGATGGGTTGTATAGAACTATAGATGAGCTGAGGGCACATGGATTGTATAGTATAGAGGATCAGTCGCATTCTTTCCATTTTGTATCTCTATCTCGAGACGAACCGCTGTACATTTAGACAACGTATGAGAAAAGAAACCCTTGAACAAAGCCTGGCCAATGCTGTCAAAAGCTAGTATAGTATAGTACAATTCAATTATCGAAACATGCATCCGGTACGCGTTTTTCATAGCATGCTTAGGCTGCGGTTCCGGTTGGCCGCATGGCGGCCTCCCTTCAGCGAGCTGACCGCGTTGTAGTTATCAAACACAGTCTCCCAGTTGATCCGGTCCCACCACCGCTCCAGGTACTCGGCCTTGCCGCCGATTCCGTAGTCCATCATCCAGACGTGCTCCCAGGTGTTGACACACAGAATGGGCTGCACGTCTACGGCGCCGGGAGCCATGTTCTTCTGGTTCAGGGAGTGGGCACCCATTGAGCCGGCGTACATGTTGCCAAGAGGGGCATCGGGACTGTGGGTGGCCATATCGACTGGTTGGCGCCGGGAGTGAGCAGCAGGGTAGGGCGAGCCTGCGTTGTAGGTGCAGAAAATGTGCATCAATCCTTCCCGCTCAAGGTTCTTAGCCAGCCATACAAAACCGGGTCCGAACATGGCGTTGGCGGTTGCAAGGAAGTCCAGCTTCAACGATTCGACGGAGGAGCAGGTGTCGATAATGTCCTTGGCGAACTTGTCGGGAATCTGAGTGGGCGTGGGTGACTATTGCACAAACAAATTAGACGTGGCCGGTCAGATAGCGATCCTCCTCCTTGCAATGTACTCACCAAGCAGTTAAAGAAGAAGTGGTTGTTGTGAGCCATTGAGGCGTAGTTGAAAACGGAGGCCATCTCCGGACGCCGGGAGTACTTGACCAGCAGTTCTCCGGGTTTCGCATCAGCGTCGACGGTGTCTATGGACCAGGCATTAGATATTGACCCCATGTTATAATAATTCCAGCTTTTGCCAAAGCGCTAGTCAAGCTTAAGATAGACGTCTTGCGGAAGGTCTCACCCTGTGTCAAGAGATTCAGTTTATCAATGAGGAGAGTCTGATACTGCGTCCAAGCGAAGTCGAATGCCTCTGGCGACAATAGCTCCGGAATACCATTGTTCTTGAAGTACGCATCGTGCGTCAACTGGGGGACTCGGTGCAACTGTCGTGTCTGGAAGCGTGGGAGGGCGGAGACGGGTTTCTATCACGAACAATCAGTTCTGCACTGCAAGCCAAGGGCTGCCGGGAAAGCGGGATAGCTTACTTGAGAGAGAGCGGACAATGCACGCAGAGGAGTCTGCGGCCGGAGGAGTCGGTTCAACATGATGAGGGTGTGGAATTGAGGGTTCTGAACATCAAATGGAGAGCAGCTTCACGGCCGCAGAATTTCCATCGCGGATGCGAAATTGCTGTATTGGGACTAGCGTTGCTGAGGTAAGTTAATTTTTCAGGCCGGCCAATCAGCGGCCGGAGATGTACTTCCTCTGCGTGTTAACCGCCCATCGACGATCTGTTGCATCTTCCCTCAGTCAATACTCTACGCGCCCTCGTCTCAGGCCCATATTCCGTTGTCAAATGGGATGCTTTTTACTGGACGGCACAAACAATAGCTGCTATCCTTTTGAGCACCTAGATCGTTCCGTTAATATGCGACCTAACATGGGCCCCATCTGTCGTCTCTATTTTGAGATGACGGCGCTTGTAGCTGCCATGGCCCTGGATGTTCCTTAAATGATGGCCTGATGCCTATTTGGGCATTGAATCAAACTACTGTCTCTCACTTCGATCTCGATTTCTTTGTTGTTGATCTTTTGTGTGGTCTGCAGATTGTTCTTGGTCTTTGTCTACAGTCCTTTCAGCTTCCGAGTCTGGCTCTCTCGCGATTAGGTTCCTTTGTTGTTGGGAACATTCATTTCTAATCGACTACTCTCTTCTTGAACTCATATTTTCTGCGATTAATAGTACATACTGCAACTCCGTTTCCTGAAGAACCCTTGATATTGCCAAATGGCGAGGTCAAGTTTCACTGCGTTCTTGGTGGCCTTCACCACTGTTGTGACTACCATCTCACCGAGCTATGCATTCAACAGCCTGTTGAACCGAGCCTCTGACTCCTGTCCAGCATCATACGAGCAATGCAACAACTCCAATCTGCCATCCTCTTTTTGCTGTCCGTCGACATCGACCTGCGTGAGTCTGGATAACGGCAGTTCCGCCATCTGCTGCCCCAGCGGGCAAAGTTGCGCATTTATTGAGCCGATCACTTGCGATGTGTCACAGCAAAATGCCACTCTCCACCCAAAAGCTGTGGTCAAGACAATACGGCTTGGTGATACCCTGCCGAAGTGCGGGGATTCATGCTGTCCTTTCGGATACAGCTGCCAAAGCAATAGCATTTGCGCCATGAGCACATCGACTACTTCGATAGCCACGAACTCAGTATCTTCCCTTACCACAACAACCTCCAGCCTTCCTTCCGCTTCTGCAACAGAATCTACGACATCTACGACATCTACAGCTCCAACAACTACCACCACTTCCTCGAAAGTCACAGACACCGCATCCTCAACCGATGGTGTCCAGCCGACCATCATAACGGCATCTGATCCAGCAGATCCGTCAGCCTCCGGTGCTGCTTCTAGCTGTCATGGGACTACAGCTGCTATGACGAACGCATGCCCTTCTTTCCCAACGAAAGCGATCATTGCCGGCTTCTTCCCGGGCGCCGCCTTCGGGGCCGTCCTCGCACTGTTAGCAATGTTCCTCATGAGGCGACGAAAGAATAACCTACCCCCTTCTGTGAAGATCGCACAGCACACTCAAAGAACATCAAGCGGAACACTCATTGGCATCTCCGACCCTATTCCCTCCGAAGAGAACGCCTACCGAACCGACTTCCTTCTACGAAGATCCCTGAAACGCAATTCGGAAGGCGCACGCTCAATGCTCCAACGCACAGGAACCCGCGTCAAGAGCCTGTTCGGCTCAACACCCAAGCCGAGCCAGATGGCATCCAAGCCGCCTCCGTTGCCGTTGACCCCTCCACAGCAGGTTCGCATGCCTAGTACGGAGAGTATCAAGGTCTATACGCCGCCGGGGACGTTCGCCTCGACGGGTGTTCTCAAGCCAGAGCCGTACCCAACTATTGTCGTGGGGAACGGTGCAAGCTTCACCGAGATGATTGATCAGGTAGGGTTTAAGAATAGCAAGGGTGATCCGAGCTACAGCGTCAATGAGACCCCTAGGTCAAGGAGCAAAAGCCCTCTCCGTCGCCTTTGTTGATGGCGGACAGCTTTGTCTCTTAAGTGGCTCCATTCGTTCCTTTGCATAGAGAAAAAGGCGTCATTCTTTATTAGCAGTTGCGTATACACTATTTGGCGTGCTGTGCACCTATACTGTTCTTCTTTGTCTCGTGATTTGAAGCAATGGTTCCCGTCTCATCTGTCGAATCATCTAATGACTTTTGCGTAGCATCACTATTAATGTCTGAATTATCAAAGGAAGAAGATTGTCCTCTCTGATGTTAAGCTACAAGCAGGGATTTTGAATACAGAAGAAACATGAGCAACATAGCCTAACCATGTAACCTGAATTGAAATCACTTTTTGAACCATGTGCTCAATTCTCAATGATCAGAGACTGCAGTTCTCGAGTCCCAAATATAACAAGGCATCACATCACATATGACTACCTAGCAGACGCACGCGGTTAGCAAATAGTAAAGAAAGATTGAACGATGCAGATAATGTTTTGAATCTGCTCAGACATCTGGGAAAGAAGCAATAGCTCCATCTAGCTTTTCATTATTACCGTTCATACACTTGGAAACTGTGATTGATTGGGATATGGACCCAGTCCGTTGCTTCGGTATTTCTTGTTTGTATGACCGCACCATCGCCAACATAGTCAATATGCGTATTGTCTCCAGTTACAGGGACAAGGGGGGGCGCGGAGATCTCATAAGGTGCCATGATCAAGGTAAAAGTAGTGTTCGTGTACTTGATCTTGAATTCTTGTATGAGCTATAGCTATCTAATTCCTATTCCTAGGCACGCTACATCATTTATATATGATTTTGTGTCTTGTCATGGCACATTATGCATGGATAATATCATGCCACAGGCTGAAACCCTGAGGTGATTCTATGACAAAAAAAATCATATGCATTCAATTTATTCAGTTTAAGGAGAGTCCAGTCTTTTGGATGCGACAAGTGGACATTATTATGTGGTGAAAAGACCATGGACATTGGCTTCATCAGCACCAATCTATATGCTAGAGCCGGCATTACACTATTGATATGGACTCTATAACGTAACCCTTAAATTGCCTCGATCCTATAGTATTGGATATGTGGATGATTTCCGAAAGCAGCACAATCAAAAGAACCTCTGATGCTTCCCTGCAAATGACTGGGAATAACTATTTTAGAGTGGCAGCTAAACTTATATGATGGGTCAAATATTGGTTCGCAGTGGTCCTATGATTGCAGTTGAATGACAGACTCAAAGACCTTATATTGACGATCTACTACATACATATATTTTCTAGATAAAGAAGCAATTATGGTTAGTGAGTTATAAAGTGGACTGATAACTTTCACAGAAAAGTGTCAAATGATATATGGAGAAGAATCAGGAGATGCTTGAATCTTAATGCTGGATGTGGATAATGGCTAGATATGCCTAACCATGGTTATCTTGAAAGCCTCAGCCATGGGGTTAGGTTATTACTCATAAGCTTAAGTTTTGAACCTGGTGGCATGATGATGAATGTCAGATATCTGAACTTTGGGCTTCTACAATTATGATTCACATTTCACCATGAGCTTAAAGATGAGGATGGTCATATTGATGGTCATATATTGATGTGCGACATCAATTGACCAAAATCAGACAACAGGCACCCGAGCTTTTACAGAGGGCGATTATGCTTAATACAATCTGCAGACAGCACAGGATTATCTGCTGCCAAACCTGCAGAGTATTAGACTGGTCACTGGCAATCTTCCGAGTCGGGCTGGTAGTCACACCACCGCATTCGCTCCCAATCACTCGATCCAAAGTTGAATTCTCGGTCATGGGAGGCGAGGTCCTCGCACCAGGAACCGAGATTGAAATCCATAGCCCTCGGCCAGTTAATCCTCAGTGTGCCCGCAGCGCTGTCATCGTCACCCAGGATGGCCGGAATCTTTTTGTCCCCGTCACTGTTGACCAAGAAGGCACCACCATTAGAATTTGCACTGATGATCTGGGCCATGGCAGCATTTACAAGTTGATGAGTTGCTAGACAATGACGGGGAAGAGCTTTTGCGTTATCAAAAGATACCAGCTAGCTTCCATCACAGCCTCCAGGTGTGAATCGGGTATTTCTTGACGACCGCACTGGGCTCAACGACCTGGTCAACTCGGAAGCGATAGGTCGCGCAGCTCCGGCTCAAGCCCTTGGATACACGGGACTGGGGGTCCGTGTTGCCGTCTTTGAAGCTGGACCTTCCGATCTCACCTACCTTGCGTTCGACGGCAGATATACCGAAAGCCCTGAAGGGAATGACCACGCACGCCTGACTAGCGCTATTATCAAAAACGTCGAGCCTGGGAAGCCGCACGGCTACGCCCCGAACTGCTCCCTTTATTCCGCTAACAGTTATGACAATGCCGTATTGCGATGGGCGGTCGGTTCACCCCAGAACTGCACTGTCATCAGCCAGAGTTTCCACCGCCCCGATGAGCAGCACAGTGCGAGTCTGTCGGTCGACGACATCCTGAAGGACCACCTCGCGACGCAGTGGCCCTTTCATCAATCGTGCAATCCGCGGGGAATGTCACCCTATCATCCCAGTATGTCAGTCCAAAGGGGTTCAACACCATCATCGTCGGAAGCCACAACGATACCGCGACTGCAATGGCTGGCAGCTCAGCGTTCAAAAACCCAGCCTCACCTGACTAGGACCGCAAGCTTCCCGAGCTGGCTGCCAATGGCACGGGGGTTACTGCCGTGGGACTGACCATGTCTGGCACTAGCTTCTCGGCCTCGGCCGTGGCAGGAACAGCTGCTCTACTCCAGCGCGTCAACTTGACGCTGAAGTCCTGGCCCGAGGGCTGCAAAGCTATCCTCCTGGCCAGCGCCGGTCCCACCGTCAGCGGCGACACTTGGGCGGAAGACAATCTCCGGGGCATCGATCAGTCAGATGGGTCTGGTGCTCTGAATGCCGAGATAGGCGTGTTGATTGCTCAGCACCGCCAATGGCGCGATCTGCCACCTGCTCCTCGCGGCTGGGACGTTGGTTCCCTGAAGGATAACGATTTCGCTAGCCAGTCCATGTCCAAGTTCTTCTACAAGGTGGCGGTCCCCGACCCCGACCCTGCCATTGCCAGAAACATTTATACAGTCAAGGTAGCCTTAGCGTGGGATGCCAAATTCCCATCCAACGTCACCAGAGTGCAGAGTCCAACCATAACCTTCCTCCTCGCTATCTACAAGAGTAATGGTGGCCGTCCGGTTCGGTACTCCGGTTCGTTCGACATAATTATGAAATCGTCGAATTTATCGCCATGCCGGGAGAAGAGTACCATATCCATATCGCTCGAGCTTCTGGCTCGGGAACTGTGTGGTATGGGCTTGCTTGGAACGTCTCATCACCGGCAGATATCTGCCCTGTCAACGTACCTGCTATGGACTGACCTATCAACCTCGAAGTTGGAACGCATATTGCGCTACTGTTTTGATTTATAATAATAATGACTTCTCGGAACTCAAGGACGAGAAGATATCACACAGATAACACAACTATCAGGGATCCGGAGACGCAGTTCGAATGGCGGACTAAAAGCTCTTCATGTACTTTCATCTTGACTATTGCTTAACTATTACCAATTAGGGCACCCAGAATGTGAAGCCTGTCGCTCATATTATAGCAAAGCCCCAGCCAGGGACCAGTGAATACTGTTTTGCTCTGTTTACTGATGTGGGTAACATTGAGCCATTGTTCGCAATAGCTCTGTGTTAGGAACCCTCTTATGATGCTACTGCTACTATACCAAACGGTCATTATTTTGCTAGAACTGATTCCTTTGGCCATGGATCAATTAAACTCAAATCAATGTATTTGCTACATTTCCAGCGTGAAGTGGTTGATACACCCCCTGGAACCACTGTTTCCTCCATTTATGATTTCCTTACTCCTCTAGTAAAGTTTTTAAGGTATCAGCAGGTGTCCGTTTCGGAGCAGCAAGCTCCAGAATCACGTCGCTGGTTGTAGAAGTTGAGCATTTCCCTTCCCACGCTGTCTCGGGGGCCCGCTTGATTGAGTAGATGACGTTCCTCGATTGCTTGGCTGCCGCATACTGGTACTCATACAGCTTGTCGATGAAAGAGACGTCTCTGTAACTAACGTCTTTGACGGGTACACCGATGTGTTGCTCAACCATGTCAACAATCTGCTTTCCAGTTACGTCCTGGGGCCCGTTCAGAACGTATTTGGCCTTGTTGTGCACGGAAGGATCATCCTGGGACAAGAGATGAGCTGCAATGACACCAATCTCGTCAGGGTCGATGATCCCGACGGGTGCATCCTCTGACAGGATCAGACGAAGGGTCTCCTGCTTGCCGGTCCTGCGGTACTGTTTAATCAACTCCGCAGCAGGGGACATAACAAGAGGCGAGAAGACATTTGGCTGAAGAGACGTCCAGTGCAAGTTGTTGAACTCGGGTGAGTTGAGGAGAGCCTCGATGGCCCAGTGCTGTCGTGCATAGTAGGCAGGGCAATCCGGACGCACATTCGCGGCTGTAGTTGAGATCCGCACGACATACTTGACGCCAGCGTTGAGAGCATTGAGATGGAAGGTTGACTCCTCGGCAAATTGGTTAGGCTCATTGTGGGATGCAATGAAGGCTCTAGTAACTTGGTGTTCACGGAGCCAGTCGGCAGTGATCTCAACCCAGTTCTGCTGGATCACTTCGACTCCGGGTAGTTTGGCAAGCTCCTGTGCCACTGGACTGCTGGAAGAGCGAGTGAGAGCAATGATGCGCGCCCTAGACAAAGTGCTGCTTGACTGAAGCAATTTTGGCAGCGTCTGAGCGACAGCTCGGCCGGTGTTGCCAGTGGCGCCGACGATCAGGATGGAAGGAGTCATGGTTTTCGAGGTACGAGATATGTAGTTAGCAAAGAGCTACTTGGCCGAATATGGGTGCTGTGCTCGATCTTATAGCAAGCAACTTGCCTTGATTATAATTAGTAATAGGGGCACATACGACTACGAGAGTCATGATCCTAGAATTCTGTCTGTGGTGAAGTACTGCTGCTGGCCGCCCGCCGGCATCCCACCGAACAAACTATGACGTCTGCACATCAATGCACCGTTCCCAATAACCTTTGCTAGCTGTTACTGCGAGAAAAGTCCTCCCTTAATATGCCACTGTGTTTGGTCATCAAACCCTATGCGCAATTTCCTCGGATGTAACACGCCTCAAAGCGTGTCCAGATTTCCTACATCCTAGAAGCGTGGGATACCGGTGGGAGGCCGGTGGGAGGCCGGTGGGAGGGTAAGACGTCTTGTTGCTGCCCCCAACATCCCCGCAAAGCTCGGCGAAGCCCACTTTTCGTCGCATTTACACATTTCTGTACGGCTGTCAGGCCAAATTTACCGATGGAAGGGTTTGGCAGCGAGATCGACTTCCTTCAGCGGCCCCCGGACCCTTCCGCATACGACGTTTTTCGGTGTCTGTTTCCTGGCTGCAATGCTAGATACCGGCGCAAGGAGCATCTGAATCGCCATGAACGATCGAAACACATCAATCAGCAGGCTTTTGTCTGTTCCAGATGTGGTCGCGAGTTTCAACGAAGGTATCCACATGCTTACGCTCACCCTTATTAATACCAACCCTAACGCTAGACGTCAAAACTAGTGATACCCTTCGACGTCATGTACAAAAGCAGCATAAAACAACAGAGCCTCTAAATCGCGCGCGCCGAGCATGTACGGGTTGCCAGGCAGGCAAGTCTCGGTGTGAAGGGGGCGTGCCATGCGAGGAGTGTGTTCGTCGCAACGCCCACTGTTCTCTCCAAGACCGTGCTAGTGTTGCAGAAGATCAACAAACCCGATCATCGACCCCGCCTTCGTCATCTCTAAACCGTGAACAGTCACAGTTATATTGGGATAAGACGAAGAAGTGGGTTGATCGATATTTCGAGATCTTCCATCCGCGGTGGCCTTTCATCCATAAAGGATCATTCGATGTGCGCCAGGAAACCCCGTTGCTTCTACAATCAATGATAGTTATAGGCATGTGGACATCAGGGGAACAGTCTGCGCAGTCTGCGGCAGTGGAGCTTTATGAACAACTTGACTTCGCTATTCGAGATCAAAGGGTATGTTCGGAACACCATTCTAAGATGTATCTGATTTACTGATGTAGTAAATCATAGGAGAAATGGGATGCCTCAGAAGTAGAGAAGGCCTGTAGCGCCTGCGTCTGGCCAATTGCCACATACCAGGCTATCCTACTGCATGTTATTTTCTCTGTTGTCATGAAGGCGAATGGTGTTGTCAATCTCGACCTCAAAGCGTCTATCTCCGCTGCTGGTTTAGCATTACTCAAATCACTGGTTGGAAGCTGTAGAAGACTGGGCATGTTCTTTTATCCGAACATGCTCGCCAGGTATAAGGAAGCTGACCTACCCTCATTGGTCTGGGTGAGCATTGAGGAACTCAAACGATTCAATATAGCACTCTATAAGCTTTGTGCAAAATTGAGCAGCTCTACTACAGAGGACAGGTCCCTGCTACACGCGAGTGAGCTCCAATTCCCTCTGCCAAGCAATGATCCTTTGTGGAATGCTGTTGGAAGAGATGAATGGGAGGCTAATGCCAAAGAGGAGAATACGGTTTCTTTGAAAGATGACCTTCAGGCAAAGTGGATTTCCAGATTTGCAGATGTATTAGAATGCATTGGTTTATAGCCATCAATCTCACGATCACTGATGACCGCTGGTAGTAGGCCGATGAATGGGAGACCACTGACTCGTCGAATCACCGGCGACAGCTACTTCCAAAAGACGAGATCAGGAGGAAGGTGAAAATATTAAATAATATTTTCAAAGTTCTGAGGCTTTGAAGAACAATACAAGCAACGCAAAATTAGTCTTTTGCTCCAAGAGTTGAAACGCATTTTTCCTTCCCAGGTACAATAAGCTGTGATGGCTCAAGGATACTTGGCGTAAGTATAGAGGTGTCTTAAGTGATTTATTTCATACCTTACCTACAGAGCATGCTGGCTATGGTATATCATATATGTACCAGAGGTTGGAATTCTACCTTGGAATTGTTTCATTGTAGCCGTCATTTAGACTATTCTGGACAACATCTGACTGACCATCCCTAATAGCAATCATGCCACAATATAGTAAGACATTGGCTGTGGTCACCTGTTTCTTATGTTTGTGGCCTACAATTTATATCCTGGGTCATGAGACTTCATCTCTTAGCTGCTGAATTCTACCAACTGAGGTCCACATTATGACGAAGCTGCAACATGTAGTCTAGCACAGAATACACCATAAGTCCCATAAATATAAGAGTTGGATACTTTACGTGGTTGCAAGAAACCTAGCCTGCAGTCTTACACATCTACAGATGCATACCTTTCCAAGGAAATCGGATCCCAGGTTACAGTTTTCTGGAGAACAACAGCTCAATAGTCTACCTTAGTTCTCGTGTCAAGGACCACGTGAACTAATCAGACGAAATCGTCGATTGATTGTCATATCAATAAGGGAATACTATATACTACATCAAACAACTGAAGAGATTATTTATGAACGCATCGCCCTCTTGGCCTTCCGATCCGAGATAATCCTCTTGACCTCTTTCAGGAGCCCCACGACAAGAGGGACGCCAATGGGCCCCAGCAAGGGCAGGTATACGGCCACTTTATGTTCATCCGGGAAATACATCTGCCCCACCATGCTCTTCTCGAAGAAACTGCGCTCGGCCTCCGTTTCCGCCACGCGGGCGCTGGCAAGAGCTGCTTCGAAGCGGCCCTCGCTGAGATGAGTGCATGCCGAGGCCAAATGAGCGAGAGTGGTGGATACAGACGCGGCGACGTTTGCTGGGATGGGGATTGACGGGAGGGACTCGGTGAGACGGGCGAGCGAGCCCATGGTGGAGGATGCGGAGAGGAGGAGCGTCGCAGCGCGGACGCGGATCAGCGTTTGCAAACGGAATGGTAGGGAGGTAGGCGTAGTAGGGACGCCAAGTAAGGTGAGAAGCTGGTGGGAGAATGTCAAGAAGCCGGCGCGTAGTGCATCCTTGGATAGATGGGTCGGGCTGGAGTGGTTCTCTTGGGTGGTGGATAGAGGGGGATTGAGGAGGAAGACGCCGCCCCATTGAGGGATGATCCAGCTGGTCGCACCGCCTTCCTTGACGACCATGGGCGACTGTGAAGGCTCAGGCACATAGAGAATGAAGTTAATTGTTGGGCCGTTTCCGATACTAGGGCTCAAAGGCCATTCGGCGGCATTGATGAAGGCACTCAGATCTTCCTTCTTCAAGGTCCAAGCTGCTAGCGCCTCGTCATACTCGGGCTTGGGCGCGGTTGGAGAGAAGGTCGCGTATAGCTGTACTTGCGTGTCGACAGTGAAATTGCTAATGGGTTCCAGCGCTTGCAGCAATGGGGAAATATATTCCTCCACAGCTGCTTGAATGTCCCAGGAGGAGGGCTCTGCGCCGGGTGTGAATAGAGAAAAGGCAAGGTGATAGGTCTCGGCATACTTCATGGACCGTCTCAACCGTCTGCTGATATTTTCTACTAGTTGCGGAGAGATGGAGTTGAGAACCGCCAAGGGCTGCTGATTGTTCGAAGATGGAGGAGTGTTGGTGTTGGCGCTGCCGAGGTTGCTGTCCGACAGGATTTGAGCAACGATTGCCTTTTCCTCCGTAAATAGACTCTGTAATTCGCTCGCGATGAAGGCCGACAAGGGCGAGTTGGAAGCCGAGGGAGCGGGAATCTGGCTGGGGGGATACATGATATCCAGCTGGGTTGTTTCGGAATGAAGCTCTGCTTTGGGAGTGACCAAATCCTCCTGAGGTAACAGTCGAACTGTCAACGCGGTATCAGGTTTGCCTGAACCAGCAAGCACCGACGGTCCTTGCGCGCTCACATGGCTTTCTGCAGCGATTGTGTCTTCGGACAGTTTCAGGCGGAGGTGATGGGCGGAGAATTCGTTGAGATCGTCAAGGGTATGCTGCGTAGTTCGGAGAAGATTCTGGGCCTCTGGGATAGGCATAGATGGTGTCTCAAAACGGATTTCAAGAGGAAATACAGGACGGCAGGTCTGTATAATGTACCACATGAGTGACTGATCCAAGAACTCTCCGATCGCGGACTGCGGGCGTATACACTTACCTTTCCATTGGCCCAATCGACCATCTCCTGAATGGGCAAATGAGCCCGATAGATAGATGTAGTCTTCCACCATATCGGAAATCCTAGAAAGATGATGACGGCCCAGAATGCAGCAATGACTCCGAATCGAGTCCGAATAGCCTCTGGCTTCTCGGGCGGAGGAAGTTGTTGCGCGCTTGCTTTGGAACTCATGGTGGGGTGGTTGGATGGTTGTGCAGTGGGTTGTATGAAAGACCGCAGGTCTGCATGCTCGCTACTCATGACCAGGACATTCTTCGTTCTCGTGCCTGCTTGAGCGATGGCTTTGGAAGCACCCGTTGTGCTGGGAGAGTGTCCAACAGGAGGCGGAGTGAAGGCGGAGAACAGAGTGGCAGCATCAACTCCGCCGAGATGCGATAGAGGGCGCTACAGCAGAGGTCGTACACCTTGCAAGCTTTCCTGACACTGTTTGAGATCAAGTATATGTGGTTCTCATTTATAATTTAATTTGTAGATGGGCCGAGGACTGATAATGCTGTCATTAAATACAATGATGTAGATTACATGCAGCAAAGTCCCTTTTCCTAGGAGTTTATAGTACAAATTTCCGGGTATCTCATAGAGTATGCGCCTGTTGAATGAGAAACGACAACAAAAAGTAAAATGGTAAATGAAGAGAGTCCCACGTCTAGTATTCCTTCTCGAAGATTTTCTGGATCGGTTTTGCTGCCTGGAATCCATTGTCAGCAAGTAATCTTGGAGGGATCGATGCTCAATGTCGAGAAAGAGGAAAGACATACATCAATGAACCGTTCAAGATCTTGGTCCAGGCTAGCCAGGTCGTCTTTCCGCTTTTTGTTCTCTGCGATTAGAGCTTGCTTGCGCTTCAGAAGCTCCTGTCGCGCCTGTTCGAGCTTCTCCCGCTCGGCATGTTCGTGATTAATGCGTGCAATCATAAGTTCATGTGAATCAAGGTCGGCATGTTCGGGATGAAGGGCCAGAAACTCCTCCACGGGGATCAATGGCAGGGACAGGTATTTGTGACTGGGAGACAGCGACTTGTTAGTCCAATTGCAAGGGCATAGAATGGACGTCGAAATAACGGTCCACATACTCATATGATTCACAAGCAGCAATTTCTCCAGTTAGATGCCGCTGTTCGTAATACAGATTCTGCAGTTGCAGATGTAATCGATCGATCTCTTGCCGAGCTTCTGCCGTAAGTTGTTTCGTCTGGCGGACCCGAAGAATAGCATCCCGACTCTGACCACGGAGCTGGGCTAGAAGGGCAAAAAGCTGCTTCTGCTGTTTAGAGGCAGCCAGAAGCGCCTGTTCGGGGTCGGATGAAGGAGACTGTGCCGTGGGATCTAACAAGGATAAAAGCTTCTCGCATTGTTCCCGTGTCTCGGCGCAAGTACGCAACACGGGGAGCAATGAGGGATCGGAGACAATGTCACCGATAGTCATGGCGAATTTGCAAAGAATTGAAATGGAGGGGAGCGATTGATAGCGCTTGGGCAGAAACCTGTGGCGAAGATCTGACCGAGGAAGAATAGGTAGCAAGAGAGAGAGAAGTATCGAAGAACGTGGAGCCACAGCGAATGCTCATGGGCGGGAGACGGAGAAGAAGGAGTTATTATCTGGATCATGAGGGGAGAAGGAAATGCAGCAAATACATATCTAGTAAACGATAAGGCTTGAATATTTTTTGCCTTACCTTAAGCTATCCACCTGTTAATTTTCACATGAAGAGGCTGGGGTTTCTGATTGATGATTACTGTCACCCATGATCCCATCTGCTGCCCCTCTTGGCCTCATTTCTCCTCCAATCTGTCTGCGTCTTCGTCTTAAAGATTATCGCCTCCCCCCACCCGCTCTTTTCTGGCTGTCTTACCTTCTCTCACTCTCTGTCTCTTATCATCCTTTCTCTCCACTCTTTCATGTCTGCTCATCTCGTCTTAAGTCGTTCTTGACTGATATAAAAGCAATTATTGTGAACTCCTCCACTCAACTCTCGACTTCTCCCCCTTACTCCGTACTTTTTCGTCGATCTGGGATATCGTTCCGAGATTCCGCTTTTCGGCTCCCAAGTTCCCAACAATAACAACAGCGAGGCAATTCCTCATTCAAACACCAACAAACCATAAGACTATGCTGTTTTGACATCCAGATATTAAAGGTGGTGGAAGAATCTGGGCTTGAATACCCTATTGATCAACAATGGCCTGCACAACGCAATCTATGACCCTCGAGTCGTATCCAGATGCTACCTCAACGTCTTTTGCGTCGACTCCCAGCGAGGGAACCGGTCTTTTGCGCGACCGAAGGCGTAGGCACTCGTTCCACACGGCTCGGAAGTTGTCTTGTGACTATGATGGCGATGCTATTTTTCTGAGGGTAGGATCGAAGCCCAGCTGTGAAAAGTTTACTCCGTTCTGACGTTCCTCAGGTTGAGCTCTTCCTAACGGAATTGGAGAGACGCATGCATTGGATCGAACAGTATCGAAAGTCGCACATGGTTCAGATCGACTCGAGTCTTCGCAGAGCGTATGCGACCCTGGAAGCCGTGAGGGACTCATGCTCCTACGCCTCCGGGGAGCTTATGGGAGGTGGAAAGAAGAGAGCCAAGATCCTGGTCGAAACCCTCGAGGACCGCTACAACGATGCGCTGGCTACAAAGGAGACGCTGGAGCAAAAGGCTCAAGCCGGAGTACGCCTGATGGAGTCCTTCCTGGTCGAGCTGGAATCTCGAGCCCATGCGGTTCGCGACCGGGGTATTTATGGCGCTCTGGACGATGGATGGAAGGCGGTCGACTCGAAGTTGGTGCACGCTCGTGAGGTGGTCGACGAGGGGATAGAACAGGCTCGTCGAGCCAAGGATTCGCTACGGGAGAGCATTAACCGTGCCATTTTACTAGCTCAAGAGCAGCGATTGATCACTTACGCTGACCTTCCTCACCCGTGGCGAATCAATCCCCACATCTTGCAGGGATATCGCTTTTCCTCATCGAAGGTGGAATGTCTCATGTCAGTCTTCAGCTTCTGCAACGAAACCGTCAATATCTGGTCGCACCTGATCGGTCTCTTCATTGTGCTCTCGGTCGCCTTCTACTTTTACCCTCTGAATCCTAATTTTCACCTGAGCACCAAAACCGATGTGGCGATCGCTGCCGTATTTTTCTTTGCTGCGTGCAAGTGTCTGGTCTGCAGTACCCTGTGGCACACCATGAACAGCATTGCCAACCAGCCGCTTATGGAGAGATTTGCGTGTGTCGATTACACGGGGATCTCGCTTCTGGTGGCCGCCTCTATTGTGACTACCGAGTACACGGCTTTCTACTGCGAGCCCGTTTCTCGCTGGACATATATCTTGCTGACCATGTCGCTCGGAATCGGCGGTGTCATTCTGCCCTGGCATCCCACTTTTAATCGTAATGACTTGGCTTGGGCTCGTGTGGCATTCTATGTGACGCTTGCGCTTACAGGATTTGCGCCCTTGTTCCAGCTCACTTATACGCGCGGATTCGCCTGGTGTCTTTACTTCTATGCCCCCGTCGTGAAGAGTATTCTGGTCTACTTTGCCGGAGCCTGCATCTACGCCTCTCAGGTTCCTGAGCGGTGGCGCCCTGGGCTTTTCGACTACTTCGGTGGCAGCCACAACATCTGGCATCTGGCTGTGCTCGGTGGTATTCTGTTCCACTACTGCGCCATGCAGGATTTGTTCGCCAATGCTTTCGTCCGAGCTAAGGGAGAATGCCCCAGCTTGACGGCATGAAAAGCTTCTGAACAGATGACTCAGCGCTCAGCGCACGATCGGCTACGAATGAGATTCTACGACATTTTCTGATTGCCATACACAAAAGCATTTAGACGTTGAGCCCAAGGTCTTACGGCTACGTACCGGTCAGCGGTTGACTCAGTCCCCTGCAAGTCCTTGTTATAGACTTCTTAAGCACTGATTTTGAGCTCTTGCTGTTGAGTCATTGCGAATTGCATAGGGAGCGTTGCTCGTTTTGCTGATGTTGTGCTTACACTTCCCGGTTCTCTCGAGATCCCCTTCTTGTAAATACTCTTGCTGGAATCTATGCGCCTTGTATAGCTGCTTGTGCATATCTCAGAGACCAGATACTGTTATTAATCTCTAGCTGCTTTGTTGGTTTTCCGTCGAACCTAGGTTTTTTTTGTGACTTGCTGTCATTTAGTTGAGTACATACATCAGTCCTTGGTGTACATAATGCACCTTCTCGGGAGAATGCAATTCAAAGAGGACAGAATAAGTAAAAGTCGGAACAGATCTATTTGCGCCAAGTAACTTGATAAGACATTAACTGAATGCAGGTACTCTACCCTGTCTATATGCTTCATGTCATAACATCATTATCTCTCTGCCGAGAACGCCCTCACTGCCGGACACTAATGTTGCAGGGTTATCGCTCGAAGACCTGTCTCTAAGCGAAGTTGTTCAAGGTCCACAGCGACAGGGACTGTAGTGGTTGGTTCTATCTTCATTAAAGACAGAGACACCGGTGTGGCTAAGCTGCGCTTCCTGAGATGAGGCTGACGACGGTCGGATATGCGGTGACCTGCAGCCACATTTTCAAGAGCAACGGCTCAAATTTTGCGTCTATCATGAAGGATGGATTCTTGCATCAGTGTAAGATGGCACTCGAATTCATGAATCCGCCTTCTCAGCTACCACTGCGGCAGGTGTCTCGCGTTTTCTGTAATGAGCCTGGATCCAGCAGCGGTACATCTTGAGTTTCCGCTGGCGATTGACAATCAAGCGTCGATCGATGCCAATCTTCTCGACATCGAATGCGCCCTCGGTGGACTCCGCCGCGATGGAGTTGTCCTCGGCCATCTGCAGGCCCTTCTCTGGCGTCCATGTCCCCCACATCTTCTCCAGCTGTTCTTTCTCGAAAAAGTAGACCCTGGTGCCGTCGCCGCGGACATAAAAATTCTCATCCATGTACCGGCCTTTTTTGAATCGCACCTGAGCCAAATCGCCGCGCCCATAGTCACGGAACAGAACGAGCCCGCCCGGTTTCAATACCCGATAGACATTCCGAACTGCCTGGTCCCATTGACTGGGTGCCAGAGCGGAGAAAATGAAGATGAGAATCACGACATCTACCGAACCCTCTGTCAACCCCGGAGGAAGCCCATTATTCTCCTCGTCTGGCACGGCCGTCACGTCCCACACATCCGCCGAAATAAACTTGGGATCGTAGTGCTCGCTCTCGCGCATAACCTGCACCGCCGTCTTGGAGAAATCACATGCATGCACCATCAACTCCTCATTCTCATTATGCGTGATGAGCGGAAACGCCGTGTTGCCCGCCCCGGCACCAACCTCCAGCACGACCTTCCTGCCCGCTCCCTTCTGCGTTACCTCGGCGAGCACGGGAAACTCCTGGCGCAGCCACTTGCGATCCTTGAAGAAGTTTGCCGTGTTGTTCTTGTAGAACAGATTCCACCATTTCGCGGGGTCCTTGTTGAAGCGCTGCTTGTCGAAGTCTGAGACGGGGGATTCGCGCTGCTTGGCGTATTGGACTTCGGCGAAGGCTTTGAACTCGTCGTCCGGTTCGACATGATCCCAGGCGTTGAACTCGAAGACGTCGTCGCCTTCTTCGAGGTAGCGGGAGCCGAACTGGTAGGGATCGGTGCGCTTGAGGTTGTTGGCGGGGTCGTGCGAGCGATGCGCGGGGACAGTGGGAGGCTTGACTGATTGTATGATGGTTACAAGCTCATCTTTAGAATCTGCGTCCGGCCGCATCGTATGCGGTTTTCTTCGTTTAGTTATTGTTTTAGACTGGTGAAGAGTGTCTATGGCGCTGGATGGGGAGTGTTCAGGTACATCAGGAAAAAATCACCGATAACAACAATTTACTGGGGAAAACCTAGATTTCTGAATGCCTCAGGCAAAAATACAGCGGGGCGGCGTATCTTATCGGTAATGCTGCAGCCAATCACAGCAGGAGACAATATGGGTGCCTGAGTGCATGGTATGTAACCGGCCTGAGGCAGTGAGGCACAGCCAGGGCAGATACGAAGCCAACTTCTGTCATCTTCGCTTCTCTCTTTCTTTTATTTTCTTCTCTGTATCCCCTCTTCTGCTCATTGACTATTCATCTGTCCAGCTATCACGCTGGACTCCGTTGGACAACATGTTGCTCTGATATCCAGACACCCCCTCGAGTCAGCCTTGCTGACATCTGACAATCCATTGATCCGAGCGTCTTCGACATTACTACTTGGTCTCCATTGATGAGCAACATCCATTACTACTTAATATCTTTGCATATACACGTATGATAAAGTAGACTTTCTATATTTTTCCATATCACCAGGGACTTCCTTAAGCCCTCGTCGTCCAAAAGGTTCAGTCATGTCATTTCTCAGCGGGCTGTGCGGCTGCTTCGCCCCGAAGAGTCCCCCGCGCGCACCATCAGCCCGGGCTCCAAGCCGAGCAATGGCCGAAACCCATCACCATCATCACTATCACAATGACAGCAACTTTACCTCTCACCATCATCCCGATGAAGGGCCGGTCTACATGACCTTCGATGAGGATGGGTACACCCCACCCGTCCCGCTGCCACGGTACACCCCCCGGCCGATGAGCAGCATCCAAGAAAAGACGCTGGAGGCGCACATGCGCGATCCGCCCGTCTCCTCGTCATGCTCCATCGCCTCGCTGCATGACGAGAAGAACCCGCGCGACTTTGCCAGCACAGACGGCGACGAGCTCACGTCGGACGTCTCCTCGGCGATTTCCTTCCCAAGCAGCTACGGCAACACCTCGACGGCCACGAGGGAGACGCCCCCGCCGCCGTATTCGCCGCGCATGTCGCCTGCCCCGTCAAGGTCCATGTCCATCTCCTCGTTGAATCCCCCGCCGCTCCCTCCGCCGCCGCCTATGGCGCATATTGCGCAGCCTAGGCCGGTGTTGCGGCGGGAGTGTTTGCCGCGGGATCTTGCGGGGCATGGCCGGGTGAGTTTCGAGAGCCAGCGGCGCTTCTCGTGGGAGAGTAGGTGATTAATGAGTAATGATGTTGCGGTAATGATTTGGCGTTTGTTTCTTTGCTGGTGGCTTATAGTTGTTTCTTCGGCACTTTACAGTAATTAATGGTTGGCCTCGATGGTCGGACGGAAGCATTGCGTTCCTTTGCTCTTTGGAAACGTGATTAAGCCACACTCATGCTATGCATGCAGGATTGGGTGGCTGGCGCAATTGGACGGAGTATTGATACTGACTTGAATATTGCACATACATCTATAATAATGACGAGTTATCTATGAATGAACATTGGTTTAGATATCATCCTACCAGCCGACAGGCTCATATGGCATAATTAAGGGTACCTCTATCTCAGCACGTTCCTGAACGTGCCTGAGCAGATACCCACAAACCTCCGCCGGAAACTCCAACAGCCGCAAGATGCGTGGATCCTCGCTGTCCTCGAGATACATGCAGATAGCCGCGCACTCGGAACGCACCCGGGTCTCGGCCCACCAGCACCGACAAGAGTCCAGCATCGCCAACCACCAGCTGAGAATGATCAACGCCGGCGGGTCTTTCTTCGCTAGTTGCGCCCAGAAGCTCGGCAACAACCGGCCCATGAAGGTCGTATACTTGGAGAAACTCTTGATGGACCGTTCGGCCGGCAGTAGCAGCGTGAGCATCCGCAGCGGCGCCAGGTACGGATTACTCTCTTCTGTGGTTGTGTCGTCGATACCGCAGATATCAGCCAGCTCCGGGTGCAGACCCTCCCGTCCGGGCGGGGGATCCTCGAAAGCTTGATTCTCATGTCGAGACGCCATGAAGACCTCCCACCACATGCTGATGCACAGCCAGGGTTTGGTAAGCCCCAGGAGGTGGCGCAGGCCGCCCTGTAAAGTGAGCCAACTCAGGGCTTGTGGATCGTCGGAGAAGACAAAGGACTTGCGGGGGTTGTATTCCTCCAGTTGGAAGGCGTGGACGGTCATGAGGAGACATGTGGAGAAGAGAGCGTCCATGTTATGAGGACCGACTGCGCAGCCGAGCTCCTTGGAATACTGGCTGATTGCCTGCTGCCAGTGGTACGCTTCGGCCATTTTGTAAGCGGTATTGTCAGGCACAACATAACGAAGATGGGAGGTTGCCACCGCTATGATGGTGTGCATGAGAAGGGGTGTCTGAGTCTGTTAGCTGTATTCACCAGTGCTCAGATGCAGGGCGACTAACGTTGAAGGCTAATTGCATCAATTGATTTCTCAAGAGTATCTGTGTGCGCTGATTGGCAATGGTAGGAGTGGTGGCGTGATGGAAATGATGCAGAGCGCGAACGGCATCGGATAAATGTCCCTTCTTTGAGCTTAGCTGCAGCAAATCGTCCATTTTCTCTGCCACTTCACGGAGATACATTGAATACTGGCTAGAGCTTGGCGATACCAACTCAGGATTTTTCTCAATGAATACAGAAACAACGCCCCTTTCGTTGGTTGAGCACTCCGGGCTGGTGTATACACATGTAACGCCATGCTTCTTGCATCGCAGGCAGTGAGGTTGGGTCTCATCGCACTGGAACCATCAGCATACTCCATAGTACCAGGCCAAAACGAAACAGGAAGGTAACGTACTTTGACTCGTCTTCTCTTGCAAGTTAGACAGCCGGAGCGGGACTTGCGGTGCGGCCGCCGCGCATGGTACACACGCTCAGTGGATCTTTCGCTGTTTGATTGTCCAGTACCGGCCGCCCGGTACATGGGGACTCGAAATAGACTCTTCTGGCCTTGCAGAGGCCCTGACGGCCCGGAATGTTTGGGATTGGTCTTTGACCGGGTTTTCTCGGCGGCCTCGGGAGAGACCGATGTTTCTGGAGAAGGCAGCATTGTATCTTCAGAAGATATCTGCTGTATTCTCTGGACCGAGCCTCCAAATGCGCTTCAAATATAGCTTTGACGGGTTGTTCAGATGGATAGAAATAACGACTCTGAAGAGCAGATGCCTATCGGGCTCGATTGGCTGCGCCTTGCTAGCCTGGTCGTCTGCTTTCACACGGCGGGATTGGTCCAGCTCACGAGTCAGGCTGAAACTCTGAGCTGATCTACATCGTACTCAGCCTATTTTCTGATGACTGTCCGTCGGAGGTCACTGGAAGATGATGCGAGGCTGATGGGGATACGAGGAGACCGTCATATAGATGTGGCACTAATCCCAGAATGGCAACTCTCGCATTCGCTTGTGGAGGCCTTACCCGAAATGGTAAAAGCAGTTCTTTATGGAAATAGTGAGTCTTGGATCAAGTCCTCTACTCAGACAGGTGGGTAAGGATAATAAGATAATAATCATATAGAGGCCCCATAAGAGTTCCTGTTGATCTCAAGTACCTCAAGTACACTGATATCGTTAAATCATACAGTCAACAAGCAGTAGACCCGCACCACCTTAACCAATCTTTGCATTCGAAAAGTCCATCTCTGCAAGACATTAGCCCGTAAACCATGCCGAGTCTCGACGAAGACATACCTGGATGTTCAGCCTGGAACTTCTTCAGAATGTCCATCTTCCGCTGCTCGTCGCTAGTCATCCCGCCCATCTCCTTCTGCCGCTGATCGTACATCATCTTCTCGACCATGGCCCTCGTCTCGCCATCCAAATCACTTAAACTCGAGTTCTCCGGCGTGATTTTGCTCACATCAATCTTCGGCGCTGTTGTCACAACATGAGCCCACCATTCCATCTTATTGACCTTGTCCAGATGAACCGAGACCTCCTTTCCAGGAGGCTGAGACGTCGTCTCCAGCGTCCAGGACGATTCATCCACGATAATAGGATGCGGAAGGTCGCCCTGCTCCCGTCATGTTAGTCCTCTTTCCCTCACACTTTATCTTACATCCATCAGGACCCCGAAGGACCAGTGCCGTGCTCACCTCAATCAACGCCTCCTGCCCCTTAATCGCGACCTTGATCTTCGTCTTTGTCAACACAACGTCCAGATCCCGGCCCTTGATGTTCGCAGGTACGGGGATCGTCACGTCCACGTCGTGGATCGTCTGTGTCCATTTGTAGGGCAGCTGCGCCTGCTCTGCGTCTTCCTTGGCCTTGCGCTCTTTTTCTTCAAGTTCGCGTTCGGCGATGTCCTTGGGTGTGGGGTCTTGTTCGAGATCTGTGGATGACATTTTTATATTTCGTGGGTTTAGGTGGGTGAAGCTGTTGAATGTTGATCGATGAGGCTTGGGGCTGGAGAATGCAAGGTGTGGGGTTAGCGGTTGTTTGCGCGGGGTTACTCCGTAGTAGCACTTAGCTTGGAGGCTTACCTCTGACAGTGACTGGCAACCGACCTGGTCCTAAGAGAACATAGATTAGGTAGGCAAGATAGATTGTCGGCTGTTGAAAGTGAGAAGATCGAGCTGCACTTTTGGATACAATTCGAGTACCTTCTGTCGGTCCCGGCGGTTGGCGGGGCCGTTCCGCAGCTCTGTCCTTGTGGAGACCTTCTCTCATGCTTGAGAGCTTGAAAGCTTAAGGGTCGAGACTATATAGTATCAGCAATCGAATCTTCGACTCTAAACCTGCCAAATAGTGGCAATTGCGAGATGGGCTATGTAGTTTGACATTTATTGCTTGTCCTGATAATTCCCTGTAGCTAGTAACCGGACTCCTAACAAGGCACATACACGGAATAACAAATACGCTCTTCCTAGTAAACGACCCGGAACAATGACCAATATGCCATAACATACGCTAGCTCCATAACAATAATGCGAATAGAGCAGTTGTCACGCCTAACTCCCATCACATGAGTGCTTTGCTTCCCGCGCAAAGTCCGACGCTGTTGAACATATCGCTAAACACACATTACTGATACCGAAGACAATGCGTTCGAGAATCTCACTCGGAATTGTCAGTCAATGCATCGTCCGCCAGGAATTCCGCTCCGAGAGGACTCTGATCGAATGCGAAGATCGAATCTGATGCATCGTTCTGCTGAACATCCTCCACCTCATGTACTTCCACATCTGACATGGCCTCAATCAGGTCGAAGAATTGTCCCGCAAATTCCACAACCTCGTCCGCCAGCTTGAACTCCAGAATCGCTTCCAGGGCCTGCATGTCCTGCTTCCACTTCTGCTCCCGTCGCGCCTTTTCTTCTGCCGTCCGGCGACATGTCCCGTCCCGCTCACGGAGCTTCATGCAATTCGGGCAGTGGTAGTGCACTTGGCAAAAGGAACAGTTGCAAGGTGGATTCACATTGATGCAATCCTGGCAGACGTAGACCGAGCAGGCCGTGCACTCCCGCAGGATACTAGAGCATCTCTGGCGCTGGTCACCGACCGCGCGAATTTGCGGACAAAAGAAGGACTGGCAGCCTTGCCATTTGGGGGAATCGAACGGCGACTCGCAGAAGAAGGACGAGGGCGACGAGGACCGTGAGCGGTTTGAATTACTGACCGAGAAACTCCTTGAGCGGTGGTGGACAGGCGCTACAGGCCTGGAAGATATTCCAGAACTCAGCAGCCCGGGATGGCCCATATCAGCAATGGCACCCCCATCCCCGTTATCTTCGGTGAAACTGCTAGTCGTGGAATCGAAGACGCGCAGGATTCGGTAGGGCAGCTCGATTTCGGGTGTGGAACCTGCAAGCCCAGGCTGTGGAATGCCGAGGTCTCGCATGAATTCGCTGTTGACCTGATCGGACCTCAGCCCGGATGGGTTTTGAATAGCCATCTTCTCTAAAGCCAAATCCCGATAACCGCAGATGCGAAGACGGAGACCCCGCAGGTCGTGTTCAATGCATAATGGCTTCGAACAACTCTTACAATGAACCTTCCACTGAGGAGCGTCGTAACATTCTTGGCACAGATTCCGAGGACATGCTGTAGGCTGGCGGTCAGGCGGTCCCAGTAGCCATTTCATCATGGCGATATGGCCTGTCTCAAGGGAGTAGTCCGGTTTACGGGGGTCACCGTAAGCATACTTGGGAAAGGTCTTGCTCCACTCGTTGGCCGAGTATTCCAAGTCCTCCCAGCCTTGACCACGGGGTAAAGGAGCTGCTCGCACCTGGTCCACATCCCGGTTTGGGGTGCCGATGCTGATGCCGCCGCCTCCGGAAAATATGGGCTCGGTACAACACCAATGAAATTTTAGGTTCGGATAAGGTACTGGGTCATTGGGATTGACAGAGACGTTGTCCGTTGAGTTTCGGAGAGGATCCTGCATGAGGCACGGGGACACAACAGCACCAGGTGCCCACCAGAAGCTTTTCGCGGCATCCTCTGGAGTTGACGAACTGCTGCGGCTGTGGAGATAGGGTCGATCAAACGCGCAGCTCGCACATAGGGTCTTTCGACACCCGACGCAGTGCATCAAGATACTGCATTGTTCGCATCTCTCCGAAATCTCCTCAAAGCAATTATCGCAGCGGATTTTGTCGACGAAACGAGTATGACTCGAACGCAAATGGGCAGGCGTCATCTTGCCTTCGCCCAGTCCCTGTCCTTCCCCAGTGCCGAGTGGCTCGCCATTGCAGCCCGTTTCGTTGTGTTCCCACAACTTCCCATCTCTCTGACTTGGCCGACCGCCCTGTTCCACTGGGCCAATCCAATTCTTAGACCTCCACAGTCGGTCAAAAACCACCCATACTTCAGCAGAGCCCTGAGGAACCCTCATCGAAACATAGCTCCTTCTCCGGAAGCATCTTCCGGCAGGAGTAGAGCACCACGCAGTGTCAGTCCAGATCCCCAATTTGTGACAGAGGTTCACCAATTCATGCGTAGGCTCGGAGTCAGAATCCTTCCGTAAGAGAGAAGATGGGAGATAAGGCCTGCGTCTATGATGCCGGCATCGGTATGTGTAGAGACTTTTGAGCGCAAGACATTTCGTCGACGAGGAGCTGCCGATGTTCCTTTCCATGTCCACGTCGTACTGGAGCCCGAACATGGTCAGATAGGGGATAATGTGGTACTTGAGCGAGACATTCTTGCAGCCCCGAACAGAAAGGTGCTCCAGCGTTTCTCGCCGCGAATGCAAAACAGTAGATATTAGGATCTGCCCTGAGACCGCGGTATTGTCCAGCTCCAGACTCTTCAGACAAGGGCTGAACGGAACCACCACGTTCATCAACAGTTGATCGAGAGCATATGACCGCGATTGGCGTGGCATCACCGACTCGGTTCCTCCAGGGAATACAATCCGGAGCGGGAACTGACTGCCGGAAGGGTAGAACAAGCGGAACGAGAGGTACTTCCATGCTGTTGGGTAATTTTGGAGGAAGGATCGAAGGTAGCGTGAGGTATGAAAGAGCTTGAGGATGGCATCGGTGGAAGTCTGGAGTAGAAGAGATTCAAGGATAGGCGCGTGGGTGGTGATGACTCGTTCAAACATCGATAGAGACCGCTGAGTCGGGGGGATAGATTGCTCCGATGCGGACTCTGAGAAAACCGAACCTGTATCCTCCTCCATCTCATCTAAATCGCGACTTTTCACCTCCGGTCTTTGGACCGGAGATTCACATAGGAGAGACATGGCAGCGGATTCTTTTCTCTTCTTTTTCTCCCCCCTCTGGCACGCTGCTGCTGAGGATCAAAGTGACGCGAGGCCGGTATCGAAGCGGAGAATGCGGGCGTCGCACATCATAAGGGAAGAGAAGACGGGTTAAGATGCACAAGGCAAGGAGTGCACTCCAAAGATGGACACCATGCGGAAGCCATCTAAGGGCAAGGACTGAAAGGAAAAAGAGGTATCTAATAAAGGGGATGATGATGATAACACCACCAGCTGGCTGGGTGTTGTTGCTTTGCCAACTCAGTAAGGTCGATAGATCGTGTTGGGATCAAACCCAACAACGCCTGGGATCTGCTTTTGTCCATCATGTGATAGGTCGCCATGTGTGTCGCGCGAGACACTTTTCTTTGCTTCTGAGGGATAAAATGTTTTGCCAATCAATTATCAATTCTTTTCACAATTATTGGCCGATTATACTCTAGCTAACTCATAGGAGTTGGATCTACTGATGTGTCAAAACAAGTTTTTTGGTAACGGACTTCGTTCAGCCTCCTCCAGGGTATCTATAGAGCTTGATTTGCGCCCTAGACTAGTGTTTTTCTATTGAATCGCCCACCGTATATCCCCTTGCAATGCCCTTGCGCCCTTCGACAACCAAAGTGCTATCGCTAGGATCCTCTTCGTCGTACTGGATATCGAAGTCGCTTCCCAGCCCCTTCCAAGTCCGTTGCGACCGTAGAAATTCTGCCCCTGGAGAGACGGCCCCGCCGATCATGGCCAACTCGCCTTTAGCTCGTCTGGCTAGGGCTCGGGCAGCGGCCGGTCCACCAGCAGCAGAGACTGCATCATCACCCTGAGCGGAAACGCGGGGTGCAGGATTCCGCATCGGGCGTGTGTGAGAGACATACCGGCCGGTTCGCAGATCAAACTCGGGAGGTGCAGACTCGGGTTCCGACATGTCGTCGTCGCCGTTTGGTGATCCTTCGTGGTCGGCTGTTTGTGCTTCTTCGGCAGGCTGGTCAAGGATGCTCTGAAAGTCACTCTGCCAAGCTCCAGTCCAGACCCTCTCGTGGTCACCCTTGAGAGCAAGCTCCAACTCAAACGGGGTGATCACTGGTTTCCAGAAATCTTTGCTGTCGACGAGGGAACTCTCCCAGCAACCAATCACCACCCAGCCACCGATTTCACTGAAGTTAGCCACCTTGGCGGCATTCAGCTTGCCTACAACAAACATGTAGCTCTTCTTTCCTGCATCTGCGATCTTTTGCTTCACATGCTCAACGATATGAAGGTAATTCTTCACACTGAGCGTATTGATCAAGATCCCGAAAATGGGTACGGTACTGAGCCTTGTCAGAATAGCGTAGCGACGCCCCAAGGCCGCCGACGTCGACGCGGGCAGCGGCTTCACATTGTCGCTCGGCGCGTCGGTGGTTGGATAGATGTGGATCGCAGCCACGCGGGATGCGAGCGTCAGGAGGAGCGCAGTCGGCGGATCGGAGATGTGGAAGAGCTGCCATTCCGACAGCGATTCGGGGTTTTCACGCACTGAGTCCGGCACCGTCCGATTGGGAATGGCAGATGATGGACAATGGATTAACTCCGTAGCATAGAGGTTGGTGTATCCTTCCTCCACTAAGCGCGCATACACGGCAGGAATATGGTCGCAGTAGGTCACGTCGGCCGCGAGTATGATCTTGGTGGCCTGATCCGGGTAGGTCGCTTTGAACGCCTGGATAACCGGCTCGATAGGTAATTCCTTATGAGTGAAGACATAGATAACAGGTAGTCTGGCCGTAGGCGACAAACACGAGCGCCCGTAATGCACGACAACGTCCGCATTGACATGTTCTGCCGCGACCTCATCGACACAGCAGGTCCCGTAAGATGTATCCGCCAATATGTACAATCTGGGCTCCGGCTCCGGCTTATCATCGACACTCAGTTGAGAGACATCCCGAGCTAGCTTCTCCGATTCCGCACCGTCCGTTCCGTTACCGTTCTTTTCGACGGTGGTCTTGTCGACGTCGCGGCGCGCAAGACCTCGGCTGAGAAGCTGGAAAACACGAGGTGCATCCGGAAGCATATCATCCGGGAACTGCAGGGCGATGCGCTTGTACCGTGCCTGGCGAATTTCCTGCAATGTGCGCTCGATGTCGTAGGTGATGGAGAGCTCTTCGTCCGACAGCGTGCGAGTCGCATTCTGGCGGGCGATGGGTTCGGTGGCCTCGAGTATGAGGGAATCTGGCGTTGAGAGAACAGGTGCCGCCTGCATTTCGGTTGCCATTTTGATTACAGGCCACCAGGCAAGGGCAGGTGGAGGAATTCGTTCTTAAAGGTGGGATGTTGTTGATGGCGGAAATTTTTATTTTTTGGTGAGGGCGAGAGAAATCCCCCACTTCACCCCGCCATCCACCCGCAGCCAATGGGACTAATGGCATTTGGAGGGCTTCATCGTACGATAACAGACGTGATTAGATCATTTTTCTCATTAGTGACATTTTTTAAACATTTGCAATTGAATTTTCATAATATAGCAGGATATATGACTGCTAGCTAGAGATCTGCTCTCGCCGGCTCGCCAGCCCATACCCTCCGGATCAACTCCCGGATAGGAGTACGCTCAATGTCTCGAGGGTTCCAATACGGATTGCTTACAGCGATGTCTGCGGCCTTGTCAATATCCTCCTCCTTCATGCCAAACTCCTTGAGACCCCGCTTGACCTTGAGCTTGTCGAGCAAGACGTTTAGGCCGTGAATAGCATCGCCGTTGCTGTCCGGAAGCGCCTCTGCGAGCTTTTTCGTAGCCTCGGGGATATTGGGAGCGTTGTAAGAGATAGCGTGTGGCAGGACAGCCGTGTGCGTCTCTGCGTGAGGCAGATTGAAGCTGCCACCGAGCGTGTGGCAGAGTTTATGATGGATAGACATGCCAACGCTACCCAGGCAAGTACCACAGAGCCAGGCACCGTACAGAGCCAGCGAGCGAGCAGTTTTCGAGGAGGGGTTCTCGACGATCTCTGGAAGGGCAGATGCCAGTGCCCGGGTACCTTCGACAGCCATCAGATTGATGACGGGATTTGTGTTGCGGGCATACAGCGCCTCGACTATCATAACCATTAGCCTTTCGAATGTCACAGACACAGAAGTACGATTTTACTAACCAGCATGGGCAATAGCATTGACACCGCTCGTGGCACTCATCGCCGCAGGTAGAGTCATGGTAAGATCGACGTCGTAGATGACCGTCCCGGGGAGAATCTTGGGGTCCGAGCGAGTCTTCTTCAGTCCGTCCGCCGTCTCTCCCAAGATAGGAGTCATCTCACTACCAGCATATGTGGTCGGGATGCAGATATGAGGAAGGCCGGTCCGGATGCTGATCGCCTTGCCCAGACCAATGGTGCTTCCACCGCCGATGGAGACGACCAAATCCGCTCCGTGGGCCCTTGCATACTCGACGGCCTTATCTGTGATATGGGTAGGGGTGTGCATCGTAGCTTCAGAGAAGATGCCAGCTACTTGGCCCTTGAGAACCGACTTAACCGTCTCCGCGTGCTCGGCCTGCTGCGGTGTTGACAGGACCAGCGGGGCCTTTAGGTTGAGCCGCGCAATTTCATCGGGGAGCTTTTGAATAGTACCGCTGCCGAAGATGACACGGCCCGGATTTGCATTATACTCGAAGGCGTCCATCTTGACAATGTGTATGGCCGGCTCGTGCTGCGATCAGAGTTGTAGAACGGCAACGGGGCTGGTGCGGGGAGTTGGGACTTTCAAGAAACGGTAAACAGCCGATCAATGAAACAGTGGATGAGACCAGGGCAACATGGCTATAAGTATAGGTCCTCTAGTCCATAATCGTTCGGGAATGGGGCTTGATCAGCCATGAATAATAAGTTAATAACCTCTTCTCCCCACACCCCACCAGCGGGGGAGTGCGAATCCCGTTCAACGTCATGGAGCGATTGGAGCGAAGGAAGCTTTTTACCGTGGGTCTCTTTCCGGGCTGTTGAGTTTCGGCAGTTAACAAGTTGATGATCCCGATGATGCAGAAGCACTTTTTGACAGGCATTCCAGCAGAATGCAGAATGAAGGCAAAGAAACCGAATGGAGTCGACTGCAATTCTGGCACTCTGATGTTGGATCCCTCAATTGTCACTCTGATAAGAAAATTACCAAGTCGGAAATCCCCCTTCTCCCATCCGCCCCGTAGAACTCCATCCAGGTACATATAGTATGCCTCTACTCCTATTGGAGGTTGGAGCAGAAGTGGATGCAGATGTCTCCTAACATAGATAAAGTATGTATCTTCGTTTTCTGTTGAAAACAGAGGGTATTAGGTATGATTGATAATATACTATGATACCTTGATATAGTTACATGTTGCGTCGAAGTTGCATCAACCACGTAATTGCAGCTTTCTTTCGCATAAACACCGATATATGCATGCTACATTTCACTTTTGATTTTTCAAAGCCGTTTGGGGTATCCGGAAATCAGGTCAATCAATGTCGGCAAATCCCATGATATCTTGGCCTCCCTTGCCTTTGTTCTTCTTCTTCTTTCGCTGAGGCTGAGCTGCCTTGCGACTCTCACGATCGCTATCATCCGAGTCGTCACCATCGTCGCTGTCGTCACTATCACTGCCAAACATGCGTTTCCCGCCAGCCATGTCACCGTCCATTCCATCTGAGTCGACGGCCTCGTGCCAGACCTTGACAACCTGACCACCGCCACTGACCATGCGTCCTTCAACGTCGAATCCCAAACCGATGACGCCTTCAGTCTCGTCATGCATGACTTCTGAAACGACCTTGTTCATACCCATCCGGACAAACTTGACCCCACCACTTCCCAGGCCGACGGCAATCATCTTGCCCTTTCCGAGCTCGTCAGGAACAACCGCCAGGGTCTCCAGCGACTCTCCGCCACCGGCTTCCCGCTGGACATAGATCCGCTCGTCTTGGTCATCCCAAGCGCCTTTCTCCCAGAGTGTCAAGACGCCGCTGGAACCTCCCACAACCACCTTCTCACCCCGGCTCGTTCCACTCGCGCGTAAACCGCCGATGTAGACGGAGCTCACCAATTCCTCTTCCTGATCTTCGCTGCGCACCAGGACACCGCGGCGGAGGTCTGTAACGGCTAACGTAGTGCCGCCGGTGGTCACCCATTGCTTGCTGAAGCCGGACGTGCTGGTATCCGAGGGAGGGAGCGGTGTAAGAGACGAAATGTAGTCGTCATGTGGATGATGCGTCTGCTGTGGCCGAGCAGACACGGGAGAGAAGGGAATTCGAAGGTCGTAGAGATGGAGTGCGCTAGAGTCGGTAGCGAGGAGGAGAGTCTGAGGAGAGAGCGCATGAACGATTGTCGGAGCATCGACCGATCTGCCATAAAGTCACCTTGAGTTAAACTATCCACAGAGGAGTAGGGTAATTGCAACGCAAAACCAATTGACTCACCCATCCTTCGCAGGAGGAATCGCAATTTTGTTTTCCACCACGCCGGTCTCCGCCTTTGCGGCCTTGACCAACCCATCCGTCCCCGCAGAGTACAGCATCTCCCCATCCACTCCGAACCCTAAACACCGACAGCTCCCCTTGTGTCGGCGGGTCCTCCACATCGTATCAATGTGTCCTTTGCCATTGCGCGACGAGGAAGTCGACTCCGCCCCGTCACCGTCGGTGTCGCTCTCCTCAGATGGAAGCCGAAAAGTTTGGACATGACCAGTAGACAGCCCAACGGAGACAATTGGCTCCTTAGGATGAAGGGCCTGGGAGAACAGGTCCGCTGAGAGCGGGAGGGTGCAGACCGTGTCAAACATGACGGGGGGAAGGAGGTAATTCAAGGTCTTTCTTTACTTCTCCTCGGGAGCTCTAGAATAGATGACATTTAAAATGGGTACGTTACGGGCCGATGAATGTTCCGCCTGTGGGTTCCTACGTATATCATATGCCAACAGCGCACTGGCCTTCCTACTCCGTACTCTCAACCATGCCCTAAACTCCGTCATTAAGCTCAGAGACATCTTTGACTTCTATAAGTTCAGTAACTAATCATGAGGAAGGAATCTCCGACTGGGGCTGTGACACTTTTCGCCCGTCTGCTGCGGTGAGAAGCTAAATCCACAGAAAAAGAGCGACAAGACGCGGCGGCGCCATTGTCGATGTACTCGGAAACTGATCCTCGTAGCCCTGGGAAGCCAGAGTACCAGTTATCATCAGATCCTCGCCGATAGTATGTTCCAAACCGAATTTGCCCAACGACCACAGCCAATCTTCAAAATCCATCCAAGGCGATACCGTGAAAGGTGTGCCCTCATAGAAGAATACAACATCACAATCAATGAGGAGCTTCGAGGTAGGTAAGGTGGACCACGGAGGCCTCAGTTCCGGATCAAGTTCTCGAAGTGAATGCACAATGCACAAGAACACGAAAGGATCACGTGCTGGGAAAATAATCTCCTTCTCGATGCCGGAGTACAGATCTCCAAGTCGACACCAGTCTCTATGAGGTTTGAACGCGAATTGCGAGGGGATAAGGCATTGTGTATCTAAAAACATAGATCCAACAATGGTGATCTTGTTAGAGGGCGGCTGCTTGAGGAGCATGCGTCTCCAACTGGCTTCTCTTCGAGGATAAACCTCCCACTTACGACTCAAGTGTATGCGAGAACGTTTGTGGACCTTTTTGCGGAATAGACCACGCCAGAGGTGTGACTGAACGAAGGGTTTATACGTCTTTCGTCTGGTTCAACCCGCTTTTCGTAAGCCTTGAAGAAGAAAGCTCTTTGGAGAGCACTGGAATCTTGGATAACCCTATGCCACATACGGCAGGCCCTCTGAGCTGAAGTGAGCAAGGTGGGTAGATCAACAAGGAGGAGGATTTCCTCATAAAGTTCTGAATACTGAAGAGATGTGATACGCTGAAGAACACATTTTGTTGGCAGCGAGAATAGGCTTGGTTGGTTTACTGGGGGTGGAAGTTTTCCATCTGAGGGATGAACACAGCTGGCAGCATTAGAGGTCATAATACAGTTTGACTCTTGAGCCAGTCATCAAAAGCTTGAATAAAACCTAGGATCGATGCGAGTAATGGCTCACCCTGATGTAAGGATTTATTCTTCTGCAACTTGATGTACTCCATATCATCTACTCAGAGCTGGCAAACAGGGGGCGATATCCAGGCATCAGATAGGCACTGATCTCCCTGATGCTAAAGTTTCTCAATATCAGTCCTAGCATCTATCATCTGAATCAGCTCCTGCTAGTTATCATATAGAAGGAGGACATGTTCAGAGTGTCATATGCAGAATCAATCAAAGTGCTCTCCGATAGGCAGTGACACAATTGCTCGTTGAGCAGTTGTCCTGTCTCATGCCACAGGCCGATCAGGTCGTGTTTGGCCGACTGTCCTGAGTAGTTTGATATATTTTTCTTGCGTTTATCCTGTTCGTGTCTTCATCTCTCTTTGCATGGATGACGTCGTGTCTATACCAAGAAGACTTCGGTTGCTTGTACCAGTACAGTTCTGCACTTGCTCTACCTACACAGTAGAGCTTCACTTCTTGGATCCAAAAAAGAGGGTTATGATTCTGATAATTCTCTATTGTCTTCCAAGTCCGAAGATAATTCCCAATGGGAAGGAGACTTGGATTGAGCAAATGCAATGCAAGAGATCTTCCTACGTTTGCTTCAAGAATACGAATACTAGATATCATCTGTGGTTATCGGGAACGAGGACAAGAGCTTGCAGAAAGGCAACAAAATTGTTTATTCAACTTCATATGTACAGGAGAAGTCAACTTCGAGCTCCTTCCAAAAGAAAAAGTAAAACACTTCGATTGGAAACAGGAATCAAAAGAGAAATCCACGAAGAAAGTGACAGATAAGAAAACAGCAAGTGAAAGCCGGCGCTGAATCTCAGCAGGGTCTGTGCCAATCGCGTATCTGACTACATACAAGTCCGGGGGGAAACACTCCTCGTCCTGCTATTTCTCAAGGGAGCCTGCCCTCAACCATTGCAGACACAATTTGTGTCTCCCGCTCGAGCTTGACTTTCCTGTCAAATCACTTAAGCTTTGTAGGTCGAACCAATGGGACCAAACTTGATGTTGGAGAAAGTCACAGAGGCATCAGGGTGCTGGGACTCGACCTTCTCCGGGTCGCCGGCGCCGTGCTCGCAGGTGCCACGGGCAACGCCAGGCTTCGAGGGATCAGCATCAGTGGGGTAGGTGCTGTCGAGCCACATCATGCTAGAATGGTGATCGTCCCAGATGCTCATGATGAGGACCATCTCAGACAGGGCTTTGCCCATGCCGCTGAGGCCGCCGTGCTTCGCGAAAATATCCTCATCGCCAAAGGCCTTCTTCTGGGCCGTGCAGAAGTCCGAGGAAATCGAGTTACCAGACACATCGGCAACGTTGGAGACAGAGTTGGCAATCACCTTACCGTTCTGGACGTAGAGACGCTTAATTTCGGAAAGAGCACCAGTGTCAGTGCCGTCAGCAGTAATGAACTGAGTCACTACGGTCATCTCGGATTTCGTATCAACGATCTTTCCAGGGCCATAGAAGGACTCGTTGCCCATGCGGAAAGGATTGAAGTCACAGCCATCGGGATCACAAGTGCCTGCATAGCGGGTAGCAGAGTAAGTGCCACCGCAGGCATCACCGCTGCACATGGTCTGCGAGACATCGTCACAGGGATGAGGAGTCACGGCAGTGGAAATGCTGTTAGCCTCCCAGATATCCATCTCAGGGCAGCAGGATCCGTGGCCACCAACGCCTGCGTTCTTGTCGTTGCTGGAGGGCTTCCAACCTTCCACGTTGGCCTGTGTTATCGTCAGCTTCTATGAAACCGTCGATCAGATCTCCCATTGTGAGGGTTTATCTTACCATGCCATTGATGAACTTGAGATCCCGAGGGCACTGGGAATCACAGTATCCGGTTCCGTACTTCGCACCGGCCTTGTTGCTAGGGTATTTAGACATGCCACCATCGGCATCCATAGCCACAAAGTACAGAGCACCGTTCAGACCGCAAGGAAGGTTCGAGACATCAACATCGAAGGTGAACTCGTTGTTCAGCAGGTTGAAATGCTGATACGTCTCGTCATCCTGCATAAGGTACAAGCGCGAGCCAACATTGGCACCGGTGACGAAGCTGAGCTTAAGCTCGGATCCAGATGTAGTGACACCGTATGTGCCCGCGTAATCGGCACCATCTACAGCACAGTTTTGAGCGCAGGATTCGTTGTCAGGGCAGAGCTCCGTGTTCCACTGTTGGCATTGTCAGCAAAACTGCGTCCTTGAATACGGCTGCCGGTAGAAATGCCTACCGTGTTGCCAGTATAGCAGTTGGTGGTATCTTTGGTTGAATGCAGCCAGCGCCAGTTGGCATCAATCACAACGGAGCCGCTCTGCTGACTGCAACTGCCAGCAGCAGTACACTTTTGCCAGGTCAGAGGAGGGTGGGTTTCCGGTTTCTGTGTGCCGACCTGTTGAGCATTGGCGGCTACAGCAAGAGCAGAGAAAAGGAGCGCGCGTTGATGCATTCTGATGCAGAAGAGAATGAATAAAGTTTGTCTTTGTTGTCTGTCCAGCAGAGATGATTGACCAACTTTAGGACGAGGTTGTTGGCCTTTATATACCTTTTCTTAAAGTGCGATCGTACTTCCTTTTTTACTCCGGAGCTAGCCTAGGAGGAGTGCATATCTCCATCTCAACGTATCCGGTGCGACGGTCCGTCAGTCCGTCGCATTCGCCTGTTTCAAGATAGGAGAGCGTTGTTTGTCCAAGATTGTAGGGGGCTAACCATGCAGGCAATGAATGTCACAAGGACAGCAAGTTATGTGTGGAAGTGGACCTTGAGATCTCATGGACTTAGTACTCCGCACACTAAGTCGTTCGACTAACAGAATCCCGAAAGTTCCGTGTCCATCACAGAGCCACGAGTGAGATTTTGCGTTTCATCTGTGCAGTAGCGGAGAAAGCTCCGAGCTACTTTTGCTAGGAGTAATATCACTGCTACCCTGGGCCATAGCCGGTTTCTGCATGTTCACGGCAATCCCTTCGACAAGGGTCCCCAGAAAGATGACGGGCGAGAGGACCACATGCGGATAGGCAACTATTTTTCAGATTAAGGGACTATATTGTCTGATAAATGTATGTCGGCGAGACAACATCTTAGGGAGACGGTCGAAGCGACTCCCCTTTGGGGTATGCTCTCAAAGATGGCAAGGGAAGGTTTCCATGCACAGTCTTTCCGCACTAGGAAGTAAGTCCCCCGGCAGCTGAGTGAAAGATTAGAGCAGCAAGGGTCGAACCAAATCAAGCCCTGACCGGGGGGTTCGTGATGCTATCAAGCGAGGATGTCGATCCCCGGAGCCTGTCTGGTATAGTATCATTCAACTCGAAACCACAGGTCAATTCGGCTGACGGCGCCTCATCTAAAGGGGATAAGTCAAGTTCCCAGCGTGTACTGAGACGTGGACGACGGGCTTCTCAACCTGAAGGATTGCAAGGAAGTACTCCGTCTTGCCGTTTAGGCACGGCGGGCAAACCCAATTTTTCCGGTTGCCTTGGGTGAGAATTTGGGTCGCTAAAGACACATACTCCACGAAGGCTGATTTCTGAAACGGCTCCCAGAGACTTGATTTGAAGATTCGGATGCTGCGACGTCGAAATTAAGCGCTAGAAGAGATGACGCGGTGGCAGGATCTGGCAGACTGTGGCGTTATTGGGCGTCAGGTTCATTTCAAGCCATCCGTGACCTGATATAAAGCATTGATTAATTATCGAGGGGTCCTGAAGCCATGTCGATCACCGGAATGCGGGGATAGAATCCCATCAATAGCAATTCGCCTTTGACGATAGTGCCGGCACACTCGGTTTCGGCTGTTCGCCTCGGATGGTGTGGGGTGCGTCTTCAGGCAGAATTCTGCATCAACTGCCAAAGAAAAGCCCATCTACTTGCCAAGGTAGATTGTCAAGGATATATTCCTGTCTTAGCACATAGACCAAATGAAGAAAAGTCACGGTCCATCGCTGTTACCCCGGACGTCCGGGAATACGACTGCGAGATTCATACAGCCTAAGGGCGGCTACTGAGCGGAATCGACAGAGCGTCGAAAGCTGTCCTTTCAGTACAGTACAGCACGCAATCGCAGAGACTATTCGAGTTCATCTTATCGCTACGGGTAATGTACGGACATCCTGAGTCAGTGTTTACCATACGCAACCCACAGAACCCTGATCAAACATTGTTGTGGCCATTGACAGAGATCTAGCAATGCAAACATCGGAGGGGACGGTGAGACTGCTATCGGAGGAACTCATAAAACGAGGTGCGTACCTTGCAGACCCATTCTCGACGGCGCAGCGCGTGCAGTCTGCACATATGCGCAAGGGCTCGAATCGCGATTTAGCCGGGAACGTCTCTCGTCCTATGAATCGACAGTCAAACCGCCGGAATTTCTCCGCAATATATTGCTAGGAGGTTATGGGGTAAAAGCAGGAGCGAGAGCCAGCAGCTGGATCTCTGGCATTATCGCCTGAGCTCTCTGCAGGGTCGTTTTCGGATAAGGAGTTTCTCCTGTCTTAACACCGCCAGATTCTAGACATCCAAGTTCAGTTCAAAGCTGACTCTACAGCTCGCTGGGCCAAGTCCCCACTGTTGACCGCATGAGAAAATGAGAGCATGAATGAGCCGGCGGCCCGTTGTGATCATCGCCCGTGCTGCCTGTTTGTATGGCATCTCTGCGTGATTAGTGTCATCGGGAACTGCGCAAGTCCGACTTTTGATAACAAGTAGTTGCCTGAGTTCATGCGTGTTCAGTTCGAAAATATGCCGACATTTTTCTGGCAATCGATCCACTTGAGGGTGCATATCCTCATTGGCGTGGATCCATCGAAACTGTACGCTTCAAAATATCTGGTCAATTCTAGAAAGAGCTGTCCAAGTTTAGGTTTAGCAGCTGAATTCTCAGCTTTTCTGGATGAATTCGAATCTCAGTCATATAGTAGTGCCTCGGATTGTTCAGCTCACTGCTATAACTTTTGGATAGGAAAATTGGTGAACAGTATGAGCTTGAGATTTTTTCAGCCAAGATCTATCGCTGTACAGTCGCATCATGAATCAAAATGGTGATATAGATATGAGCCCGAGATGATTGCGAGGAGTTGTGTTGCGCTTGCTGAGCCAAAGAACGCCTCAAGCTGGTGGTGGTGAGCCCTGATTAGTCACTTGATGCCTGGTCACCCTGGTGATGCCTTATCGGTTGGCTCTTCCCCATAAACCGATAAGGCATCCAGGCATCCATCTCTACTCCAACATCTCCGGAGGACCTCGGTTTCTTTTCTTTCCCTGTTCAAGCATCTTTATTGGATTACGCTGCTTTTCGTCCCGTCACTTTTAGATCATTGCTTCATTGACGTTTGACTAGAAACAATCCGAGAACCAAGGTCAAATTATAGAGGCCCTGGAACAGCCTAAGAGGGAAGATCCAGAGTTCGAGGGACCTAGCGTTCGAACCAATCGGCCATGGCTTGGTACACCCACGCAGTTGAAAGAGCCTCCAATTCTTTCAACGGTCCGCAGGTTCATCTTCACCTACTAGCTCTGACTGGAGCATCGGTGACTCTCGCTTTTCTTTTCCGTTCGTTTCTCTCCGAACAGCATCCTAAAGGTACCATTCTCCCTTCGCCCCGTACAGCGATTTCAACTCTGTCCGATGCGGAGAAGCGCCAACTCCCTCTGCCAAATGATGTGCTCCCTGGAGCGCGGGATGTAGCCTCGCCGTATGGCTCCATGAGAGTGTATGAATGGGGTCCAGAGGACGGGCCTAAAGTATTATTTGTCCATGGAATCACCACACCTTGCATTGCTCTGGGCGGATTGGCACATGCTTTGGCCGATCAGGGTTGCCGAGTGATGCTTTTTGACCTGTATGTTGTTTCGCTATTCACCAAAAACTTTTTTGGGTGTCTTTGCTGAGAGGTCGCCTTCCAGTTTCGGAAGAGGTTACTCGGACTGTCCGTCTGACGCTCCTCAAGATGATCGACTTTTTGCGACTCAGATTTTCCTCGCTCTAAGCTCCTCTCCTGTCTCCTGGACGGGAGCTGGCTCTGGGAAATTCTGTCTGGTCGGTTACTCCTTGGGCGGTGGTATTGCAGCGGCATTCGCATCGTACTTCCCTAATCTGCTCTCCGCATTGGTGTTATTGGCCCCAGCAGGGTTGATCCGCGACTCCCAAATCAGCTTTCAGTCCCGGATTCTCTATTCGCGTGGTCTGGTTCCAGAACGGGTACTCGGTTTCCTTGTTGGTCGCCGCCTCCGCGCTGGGCCCTTGACTACCCCAAAGCCAAAGAATGAAAAACTGAACGCTGCAGATGCCCTCACCGAGGAGCTTCCCTCACAAATCGCCGGCAATATGCAGGTACTGTCTCGGGCCTATCCACATGTCTCGGTTCCCAATGCCGTTTCTTGGCAGGTGAACAACCATGCCGGATTTGTTCATGCTTTTATGTCTAGTATGCGCTTTGGCCCGATCCTGCAGCAGCGACAGTGGGACACCTGGACGCGCCTTGGCAAGCACCTGGCAGCACAGAAGGAACTTCCAACGGAAGAGCAACTGACAAATGGTCTTCCAAGTGACAAAGTCCTCATCATGTGCGGCATCCATGATGCCATTATCGTGAAAGATGAGATTGTGCCCGATGCCACGTTGGCCCTCCAGGGAAATGTTGATTTTGAGTACTACAACGCAGGCCATGAGTTTCCCAGCACACTGTACGACAAGGTAGCACAACGGATAGTGGAGCTGTTGCATTGACAAAAGTCTATTGAACTTGGTCGACGACAAAAAATTCAGGGAAAATAAAAGAAAAGAAAAAAACACCTTTGAGCTCGGGGCACAGGCTTGATGAAATGTACGCTAATAAGACAATCATAGACTCTGTATATAGAACATCATTCTGTCAATTTTTTGGATGAATTTTTCTTCACGGTCCCGCCACCCCCCAATTCTGGAGTGAAGAGGTATACCCGTGAAGTTTCCACCTTCATTTCCGCAATATTTCTTCGGTTGCGTCAAGTTGACTGCTCAAACGTGATACGTGAGCTGACCGATCTTGCATGCGTGCACGAGCGAAGTAAGGCTCATCAGCAAAAGCTGACTGTGAGAATCGGTCGACAACACCGTTGCTCGCGTCTGGAATATGGCTCAACTTCCCGGCACTGAGACCGCTGCTCTCGCCGTTGGTCATTCTGAAATGAAGACACACGTGAGCCCTCTGTGGCGAGTATGTGTGCACATGAATGGGGCTTACTTTGTGGACTTTGTTGCAGAAGGCATTGTCAATATGAAATTTCTGTTCGCCTTCAAGTGGAAGTGCTGGGAAGTTGAAGTTGTCTCGGACAGGGAGTGAGGTGAGATAATCTATCAAGTTGAGGAAGTGTGGCAGTATGACAGGCTGACGATATACACTCGAGATATGGTGTTTTCAGGATGTGGATTGTGCGATGGTCGCTGCAATGACAGTCGGTGAAGTCGCTTTTTGTTCTGCTTTTATGTTTATTGGTTCTGAAGACTGGTGAGTAACAGCAAGACAGGCATGTCCCTCCTCTAAATACCCAAGAATGGTCACCGGAGCAGATGGAACAGTCAGGAGATTTTGATGATGGAATACAAAAATAGCTGACCCGCTTTACAGTCTCGAGGGTACCAGTAAATGACAAGGATAAGTTTGAACGGGGCTAGAAAAAGGAATGGCATCGAGGTAGGAACCGGAATGATCGAGATCCTCAGCCTGAGAGACAGCTTGGACGATGACATCGACATGGGCTTAGTGACATTCACCGGTCTGTTCTGTCGCATGGACTGCCGAGAACGGCTCTGGATCAGCAACCGGCCCAACAGTCGTCAAGTCAAGAGCGAAGCGGATGTATTCCGTGGCTACTGGACACCCTATTCTCGTCTCGACGCAGGGTCCACGAAGGATCATCATCAAATGTCTTGATCACCAAGAGCCGTCCACCAGCCATAGGTACCGACTGGGCTTGAGCCAAGGGATGGCCTCGGAGTGGAGTTGGATCTCATCACCTAATGGTCTAATTCGTGTCTCTCGAACAGGAGTTCATTTACCACCGGATCGACTTCCTGGGGGGATTCTGATAAGCGGACGTGGCGTACGTCGGGAAGGTTGACCGAGCAGTGCCCTATGGGCCCGTCCCCCTGGTAAGCTACTGGATCTTACAGATACTTTCTTTTTTGACTCCAACCATTTTTCTCGGATGTTGGAGGTGGACAGTGTTCATGATTGGACGAAAAGTAGGCTGAAACACCAGATCTTCTGTCACAAGTCTAGACCTTAGACCAGTAGCATGGCCGATGGCACGCGACTTTCTTGGCAGCCATTCAGCTGCCAATGCAGTCATGCACCCTGTCATAATCTGTGCAGCACATCCCAATATAGGGCATTATTGGCGGGCTCGGATAGGGAGTCGAGATCGAGGGCGAGCCGTTGCGAGGACGATCGGTTTGGGCTTCAGACAGGCGTGGTTCGCTTGGACAAACGTGGTTGCTGGTATGGACGATCAACGCACAGTCCCAAAGAAATCTGAAGCAGGAATTTAACTGGCACAACCTGCCGTTCAGCATCCCATCTGAGCAACTCCCATGCTTTTGTGGCTGTATGTTTTCTTTTTCCTCGGTCACCTCCTTGCTTGCTCATTTCCTCTTGGAGTGGCGATCGGCAAACAGCCCCCTTTACCAACGTTCCTGAGGTGACGATTCACGGAGCGATGTAAGAAGTGCATCATTTGCGTGTTAAGCTATGTGCATATGCAGGTTAGCATGCAGCCTGTGCTTCTTCTCGTGCTGTTCTAACGGCTGCGAGTGTCAAATTCTCTGTGCAGTCATCGGCCGATTTACATTCCTGACCGGCCTTCTCTAACGAGATGCCATGTGCTGGACAATTACCTTATGGTTCTTCATACCTACCTAATCCTGGCATGGATTTGGGCTCTACCTTGGAAATCATTGGCGAATCTGCTGCGGGTGTGTGTCAACCATCCACATGCTTGGGTCGTCGTACTTCAGACATACTGACGCCCAAAATAGAGTTCAGCTATGCTCCTTTAATTTCAGACTGAGAGTAATATGATTTGGGCCGAGGAAAAAATGAAAATAGAACGCGAAGCCTCGCTTATTGGATAATCCTGCCAGGAGCATCATCGCTGAGGGAGCGGGATGCGCATGACATATGGAAACGGACGAGGTGCAGAAAGGGGGAAAAAGCAAGTATTCATTTACGCCCCGTGACTTCCTGCTGATTAGGGGCTGGGTCGTTCAAGATCGGGGACGAAAAAGGACCTTTACGACAGGTCTCAAGGACTTAAGAGACAGCTGAGATTTCACAGTGTCAATCTCAATTTTAGCCGTTGTCAGGGTTGGGAAATGCGAAGCCCTCCGCACCTCAGTACGCCTTGATTGGCGATGGCCGTGAACTACGCTCACTCTTGGCGCCGGTTGTTACCAGAGTGTCGGGTGCGTCCAGTCTTACTCTCACGCAGAGCTACGAGGCTCGAGAACAGGGTTTCGGGGTTGTCAGGGGTTGGCGGACGAGCCTATGAAGCGAAACCCGTGGTGTTGGGTGCTTTCTGGCTACAATCTTGATGCCATCCGGGCAGTTTTCCAACCTGGCTGAACCCGGAGTTAAGTTCACCAGTACCGGGAGATTTGCAGTGACTTTGAGGTTCTTGACCAGCATGCCAAGGAGCTGTCCATTCACGAATTGGGCAAAAATTGACGACAGTTACGAGCGACTACTCCGTGCTCCATATTGCGTCCCAGTCCAAACTTGGAGATTCTGCGACTTGAGAGCAGTTCACAATTGCTCATAAGGCGTTATGTATACAGTATCGTAGCCTTGAATGAAATCAAGACGGGCTGGAGTGATATTACTCTCCTCAAGGCCCATAGCTGCCTAGTTCAACGCTGCAGGAACCTTGTCGGGAGATCACTGCCTTTGCGCAAGCCAAGGTCAGAAATCCGACTTATTTTTAACAACTTTCTACGTCAAGCTCAGCGCACATACGCAGGCTCAAAAGGCTATTCAATAGTGGGGCCTGTGAAGTGCACTGACGACAAGGAGTTCTATCGTCCTACGGGGTACGGAGTATGACTCTGACATTCTCCATCTCGCGTGGATAGCATGAGACAGAGCCAAGCCTCAACTCTCAAACATGTCGACTGGTTCAGACCAAGCCTCACCGGAGGCCTGTGCTGACGGCAGACTGCAGAGCACATGGTTGTCAAGGGAGAATGGACAATTCTCCCTTGCTGAAAAGCATGACGGGTCACCTTTCGGACATCAAATGAAAGCAAAGGCCGTTATCGTTATTTGCCAGGTGATACTACCCAGTCGGGACTAAAAACAGGAGGAATTGGCGAAGTCCCACGCCTAGACACGCAGATCTTGCTCATATTGGTCCATTTTTGGGTGTTTCATCACTCTGGTCTGAAACTATCTCAAATAATTGCTTTTTCCTTCTCGTTGCCGGCGCAACTCGTTTTGTTAAGCCCCTTGCACCACAACCATCTTCAGCAGCAACTTCATCCTGAAGCGAGAGGTGAAACAAGCTGTTTGAACTTGAGCCAAGATCGACAACACCGGATGAACCCTGTACGAACTACGGAGTCTGCGGACTATCTACAGTGTTCAGGCAAGCTACGAAGCTTCCAGGTACAGCCTTTCAAGTCCTCGACCCCACAATAGCCAACGGCTTTGGCATGCCTTGGTCGCTGCTAATCCCGGTAACGATCCGCGTCGCTCAAAATGGGCAACACTACATAGTATCGACTAGCGAGTCATGTTATATGAAACCGATGGCATGGACTCATCCTAAGCGTTTTTATTCGTGTGGACTTGTTCCATACGCTATTTCGAAGACCGAGCAGACAAGACAATGACCTTGGTGTTACACAAAGGAAACTGGCCGAGTGAACTTATTTTCCCTGATATCATTTCACAACCTTCCTTTTTCAGCTCGTATCCTGTTACTCCTTGCCTTTTTAGGATAGGCTGGAGGAATGAGACGGTAGGAAAATGCGCACCCTATCAGAGTACTCTGAGGCTTCTGAAGTCAGGTCCCAAGGGCCGCACATCCTGGAGCAGAAAGGACCGTTCTCTCCATATCGAAGGGTTGCTGGCTGAGTGCGTCATTTTCTCGCTTTCTTTTCTTTTTTTTTTTTTTTTTTTTTTTCTTTTTTTGCTTTTTGTGGACTTGCCTTGTTTGGGACTGCTTGTACAGGGCACTACACGACATCCTCAAGAGACGCCCCATGTGCCTAGAGGGTCTTCGCCGCCAGAATGAGTTCGAAGTCTCTGGAGGGTTTTCACCCTCTTCACTAGGGACCCGACACAAAGGGGGCCAACGAAAGTGCAGAGGGTGATGGCCCAGATGACCACCAGATAGATCTCAGAGGCTACCTCTTGGCTATTGGTCGCGGGAGATGAGGACGAATGAGGGGAGAAGATCCCATCCGCCTCGGCTAGCGATGCGATGAGGTAGCCAATCTCGCCTCGCGCCACCATAGCCAAACCCAAAATCGACGCCGGATACAACGAGCGGGGCCTGAGAGGAAGCTGTGTGCTGCTGATTCGTGCCACAGGAGGACAAAGCCCTTCTTGTGGCGAGTCATTTCCCGCTGTTGCCGCTGGGAGTTGAGAGTCCTGCCTGCGCGAGTCTGATTCAGGAAGTTGACTTTCTTCTCTCTTTGGTCCATCGCTTTGTATCTCTCCTTGCGCTGAGGCGCGTGAGCAATCACTGTCCAGCTGAGATCGGGTCTTGCATGACTTGGCCGCGCTCACAGTGGCAAACCCGAGTAGAATCTTCTTCGCCTTGTTCAACGGCTTTGATCCGCGTAAAGTCAGCCGAATCAGCAACAATCCGGTCACTATCTTGCCAAAGGCCATGAGAAGAGTGTAGACAACGCCTCGCCATACTACCCTCCCTTCAAACATTTTCGTGATTGGAATGGAGAACCCTATCGAAGCCTGGAGGGCGAGTCAGAGCGGAATTCTGAGAAATTAGGTGTTGATAATAATGGCAACCTACAAAAAACAGTGGGCTCAAAATCCGCTTGAGAGGCTCTTTGCAGAAAGTTTCGAACGTAAGTTCTCCAGTTGGTCGCTCAGATTGCATAGTGTTTTCCGTATGGGCGGTGGACTCGGCTTCTCTGTGGCTACTTTGTGTATGATTTGTCTCACGAGTCAGACGAGTTTGCATTTCAATGCTCCCCGGTCGATGTCCACGCTGGTCATTGGCTGGGATTTCGGTCTTTGGCTGCTT